AAAAACTCATTTGGCCCTGATTGATATTTTGGAATTTTTTCTTTTCTTTTCTTTTCTTTTCTTTCTTTCTTTCTTTCTTTCTTTCTTTCTTTCTTTCTTTCTCTTTCTTTTTTTTTGCTTGCTTTGAAATAAAATGAACTTGAAAAAGATTTATTTGGCACCATATCAGGTATCAACTGTCCAATGGAAAAACTTGGGGCTGGGAATTTAGCTCAGTGGCATAAGCACCTGCCTTGCAAGCAGGTGGTCGTGATTCAATCCCCAGTACTGATAAAAATGAAAATGAAAAAAACAAAACAAACAAACAAAAAAACTTACTTGGTTTCCTGTCAGATGTAAATGAAGGACTGTGAACAGTGACTTTTGATTGGTTGTGTCCAGATGAAAATCAAGGATTGAAAAGAGTATATATTTTTGGTTGTTGTTGCATTTGTTTGTTTTGTTTTGTCTTTTGTTTTGTCTTTTTCATTTTTATCGGTACCAGGGATCAAACTCACGACTGCACACTTGCAAGGCAGGTGCTTATGCCGCTGAGCTAAATCCCCAGCCCTTGTTTTGTCTTTTTGAAACAAGGTCTCACTATGTAGTTCAGGCTGGCTTTGAATTTATTATGTACCTCCAGGCTGGCCTCGAACTCTCAGTGATCCTCCTGTCTCAGCCTCGTGAGTGCTGGAATCACAGGCATGAGCCACCACATCCAGCTTCTGTTGTGGTTTTAACCTGTAACCAGCATTCCAGCTGGCAAGTGACATTTGCTGTTGGAGTGACCACCAGGCTTCCCGGGGTAGGAAGGCCTGTGAAGGAGCACAGGCCATGCCCTCATCACACAAGATGGCCCAGGAGGTCTTGGGATGCCCCAGGCTTCAGGACTGTGACAGAGGACTCCCAGGCCCCCATCAGGGTTTTCCAGTGCTGTAAGCATAGAAAAATCTGGGAGGACAAACTGCCACATGCAGACCTTATTTCCCTATTGCTGGGTGCAAACTGGACCCATGCAGTGTTCCTTTGTTCTTTATTTAGGAGCAACTACACTGAGCACTGAACATAGGCAGCAGACTGCCTGGCCTGGCCTTCTATGTGCAGGGGATCAGGACCCTGCACTGGAGGCTCATGGCACTTAATCAACACAGGGCTCATAAAACTGCCTCCTGAAGGGAGCCTTCCTGCCCTAAGTCCCCACAAACACTGAGCGATGTTGTCCTTCAAGAGTCAAGAGATTTGATGCTAAAGTGCCACAGGGATGAGCGGCTGTCTGCTCACAGGCTGAGGAGGGAACCAGAGAATGGTCAACAGCCAGAGAATGGCCCTGGGCTTAACTGACCTCCAGCCATCCCCCTCCACTCCCTGTCTGGGCCGGGAGGCCCTCAATGGCTCTGCCACTCTGTGAGGCCAGGAACCTGTCATCACCCACTGATCCAGTCCCACCCCAGCTCACAGCCCAGATTACCGGGATCTAAACAAGGAGATGGCAGGTCACTGCCTGCCGGGCTGATGGTTGGGAATAGGTGTGGCTTGCAGTCTGAGCAGGTCCCAGGCAGAATTCTGGAGCGATTAGGAGAATGTTCCCAACCCAGCTTCCATCTACTGGGAGGGCTGGGCACTGACACCAGGCAGAAAGAGCGCAGTGAGCCTTTATTGACAGCAAAGTGACTAACAAAGACCTTGGGGGCAGACCTTCATAAAAGCAGCTGAGGGCCAGGGATTTAGCTCAGCAGCATAAGCGCCTGGCAAGTGCAAGTTGTGAGTTCAATCCCACATTTTTTTTTTTTTTTTTTTTTTTTTGTCTTTTTCCTTGTTTTATCGGTACCGGGGATCGAACTCACGACTGCCTGCTTGCAAGGCAGGCGCTTATGCCGCTGAGCTAAATCCCCAGCCCCCCCCCCAAAAAAGAACATTTTAAAAAGGGTTGGGGATGTAGTTCAGAGCAAAGGCCTGTTCCATTTCCAGTACAAATAATAACAAGAGTAAAAAAAACCTAAATTCTTTGTGGTATAGGAGGTCAATTCGGGGCTTCTTGCATGCTAGTCAAATGCTTTAGCATCATTTTTTCTGTCTTTTTTTCTCTCTGTCTCTGTCTCTTTCTCCTTGCTCTTTCTTCTTCTTCTTAAGGCAGTGTCTTGCTATGTACTCCAGGGTGGCCTTAAACTTGTTTATGTATCTCATGCGGGCCTTGAACTCATGGTGATCCTCTTGCCTCAACTTTTCAAGTGCTGGGATTACAGGTGTGCACCACTGCGCCCCACTATGGTGACCCTCTTGCTTCAGCCTACTGAGTGCTGGGTAACAGGTGTGCACTCTGGGGTTTTGGTTTTTTTTTTAAAGACAGGTTTGCTCTGTTGCCCAGGCTGGCCTTAAAACTCTGGTCTCAAATGATCCCATTTTCCTGTCTAAGCCTCCCAAGCAGCTAGGACTATAGACATGTGCACAGCTCCAGAAGTAACTAATACCTTGACCTAGCAGCCCCTCGAGCATGGTCTGGCCTGTGCCTCCTCCCATCACCGTCACTGTCCTTTCACCTGGCACTAGCCACACTGCCCCATTCTGCTACTTGTGGACTGTCAAAAACCCAGGCCAACCTCAGGTCCTTGGCTGCATGCTTCCCTGACTGGAAAGCTGGTTTCTGTGACAGTCAGCTGGCTGCCTTCCTCTGGCCACTCAGGTGTCAGTGCAAATGTCACTGCTGACACCGGTCCCCAACACCCCTATCCCAGTAGCCTCTTTCTCCCCTGCACAGTCCCAGTTTACTTTATCCCCCTACCCAGGGGGCGACTTGCCACTGCTGAGGTCACTCTGCTGTTTCAGTCTTCACAGCTCTCTTCACATCAGGAACCTCGCCAGCAGAATCCCTGCCCTGGCTGGGGCCTGGCTCACACAAAGCACTTGGCAGACACCTGAGAGGACAGAGGGACACTTCCCTTCCCCAACTCGGAGTTGCTCCAGGTGGCCACTCAGCCAACTGGGAGGCCACAGCCCTGTGTGACCAATGGTAAATGGGGACACCATCTTATTAATCCAGTTCTGGCCATTTGGGGTGATTGTCACAGAGGTTACTACACAGCTTCCTGGACTGTCCGAGGGGACAGTAGTCTGACCTCCCTTGAGCTTAACTTCCTGTTTACTAAAGACAATAAACATTCCTGGCAGGGCGCTGCAGGTTGTGGACCAGGATTGTGTCTTTGTTGTTATTTTGGATTCTGGGCATCAAACCCAGGCACATGCTCTGCCACTGAGTTCTTTTCTTTAGACAAAATATCATTAAGTTGCACGAAGAGGTCTCCAACTTCTGGGTTCAAGTTGTCTCCAGACTGAGGAGGTCCAGAGGTGAGAGAAAGATCCTAAACAGAGTGTTGGCACTTGTGCTGAATTGTGTTTAGGGGCGGAGGAAGTGGAATTTGCACTGACAGTGACAGGGCCTGAGTCTGTGTTTCCAGGCTCACCGTGTTTTCCAGAGGTCTACAAGTTTTTTTTTTGAGTTTCCTCAAAGGGACAAAGGCTTGAGCAACTTCCTTTTGTCCTGAAGCTGCGTTTTTCTTTCTTTTTTTTTTGTGAAGGGGACCACAAGCACCTGAGGGAGAGGGCCTGGCTCTTGGCAGTGATGCCCACAGCACTGAGTGAGCCTGAGTCATCCCCTGAAATCTGTCTGACCCAACAATGGTCCTGTGCAGGAGCTAATGTTGCTGTCTCCATTTGACAGATGAAGAAACTGAGGCACAGAGGGATTAAGGACCTGGCTCTGGATCACAAGGTGCCAGAGAGGAGACAGTAGTTAGACTGTGCTGTAAGCACGATTAGAACAGTCAGTGTGCCCCTGACCCCAGGACTTTAGCCCTGCACTGGGATACAGCCCTGTGGTAGGGCACCTGCCTAGCACTGAAAGGCATTAGGTTCTGTCCCAAGCACTGTTAAAGACTCAGCCTTTACCAGAGTGTGGTGGCGGCTACATGGGAGGCTGAAGCTAGGGGACTGCTTGAGCCCAAGAGTTTCAAACCAGTTGGAACAAGATAGAGAAACCTTTTTTAAAAAAGTCTATGTCTTGATACATAACTATTAGTCATAATAAAAACCAGCTATTACTTGATGGTGCATGCCTCTAGTCCCAGCACTTCAGGATTATTAATTGGAGCCTAGCCTAGGAAACTTACTGACTAAATGAAACCCTGTCTCAAAAAATTTTTTTTCAAAATTCAAAATAAAGGAAATAAAAAAACTAAAAATAAAGGAAAAATTTTTTTCTTGAGACAGTGACTGAACAAGACCCTGTCTCAAAATTAAAAATAAAGGAAATTTAAAATTTAAAAATAAAGGAAGCAAATATATATATTAGTATTTTATACATATATATATATATATATATATATATATATATGAGAGAGAGAGAGAGAGAGAGAGAGAGAGAGTGACTGTCATGGTTTATGTCAGTGGCCCCCAGGCCTCATGCGTTTGCATTGTGCATTTGTGATTGGTTCATTGTCCAGAGCTTGGATTGATGGTGTCAGTGCTACCCCCACCTAGGGGTGGAGCCAGCATCTAATGTAATGGCAGGAAGAAGGTGTGTGTCTCTCTTTTGCCCATTTTCACCTTGCTGTTTGCAGCTGCTGTGAAACTTCGGTCTCGCCATGCCACCTTGCCTTCGAGCCAACTAGGTATAGAATAAAACCTCCAAAAACTGTAAGAAATAAATCTTCCCTTTCCCAGCTTTGGGCATCAGATATTTTGTCTCAGTGACCAGTAAAAATAACTAAGATAGTGACTACATGAGACCCTGTCTCAAAATTAAAATAAAGGAAATTTAAAAATTAAAAATAAAGGAAAAATATGTATATGAGATTTAAAATATTTAAAAATAAAAATAAGCCTGGCATGGTAGTACACATCTATGATCCCAGCACTTGGGAAACAGGCAGGAGTATCACCACGAGTTTGAGGCCAACCTTGGCTACACAGTGAGTTTAAGGCCAGCATGAACTGTACAGTAAATCCTAGCTCAAAAAACCAAGCCAGGCCTCCTGGTGCTTACCACAGTGTCTTACACTGACTGTAGAGAGAAAAAGGAAGAGGAAGAATAAACCCACTCCATCTACACCTTAGTCCAGGTCTTGTGCCCTGTCTGTACTGTGAATAGAGAAAGATGGGAAAAGAAAAGAGAAGAACTCCAAACCAGAGCAAAATGAAGAAGAAAAGCTAAGTAACACGCTAAGGGCTTCTGTACCTGACTGTCTGCAATGCTCCTTGTCACTAGGCAGGGAAGTGACTAACCTGGGTTCACAGCAGTGGATGTGCTTTGTGGTCCATGGCTAGGAACAATCCCACGAGCTGTTCTTGCTTTTCTGGATCAAGATTTCCTTGAAAAACTGATGGAAGCTAGAGACACTCTCTCTGGAAAACTTTGCACACACAGGTACATCGCTGTGTATGCACGGGAAGCCCACAGGTTACCAGGCAGGCACTAGCGTGGAAGACTCCTGGGGCCAGGCCTTGTAGGACATCTAATTGGAACCAAGGGAGAACCTTTGGGTTCCAGCAGTTCCATTTACTGAGACAGTGGAAACAAAGTTCCATGTTCATGCCGTCTGAGAAAAATACAGCAAACCATCAGGTTCCATCCTCGGAGCAAGGCCACAGCCAGCTTCTCCCACCACCACACAGCTCAGATCCCACCCAGAAGCCACTGCAGTTGGTCTCTATTCCCACTCTGCATCTCCCTCTTCCTGCAGCTCCTATTCCCCCAGGGGTTTGATCACACCCTACACCCACAATGAATGCTCCAAACCTTACTTCATGCCTGGTGAAGCTTTCAATGATCCCGTGTGGCAGGAGAAAAACAGTGGCACACATTTTAAACTGCACTACCCCCATGGCTAACAGAGTTGTGGTACTGGGGACTGAACACAGGACCTTCCCACTGAGCTACATCCTCATCCTTCTTTTATTTTACATTTTGAGATAGGGTCTTAGGGGCTGGGGGTTTAGTGGCATAAGTACCTGCCTGGCAAGTGCAAGGTCGTGAGTTCAATCCCCGGTACCGCAAAAACAAAAACAAAAACAAACAAACAAAAAAGGGTCTTAGTAAGTCATTAAATTGCCCTTCAGCCTCCCACAGTGTACAGGATTACGCAACCCCCATGCCTGCCTCTGTCAGGCTCTTGCCCCCTTTGTTCATACTGATTTATACAGAGGCTGCCGAGAATGGTCCTGGGCTGACCTCTAGAGTGTTGCCATTCAACAGTAAGTAGGGTTCTGAAGAGGGATGCTTAATAAGGACAGCAGAGAGCAGTCTAGAATATTTCAACCTGGGAATTTCAGCTATGTCTCCCTAAGAAAAGGACATTTAGAGTTGAGTCTTAAGGGATGACATCTTAGTGAGGGATGCTTTAGCCACACAAACAACAGAAAACTTAATAGTAAAACTACATGGGTGGGTTGGGAACTTAGCTTAGCGGCATAAGCACCTGCCCAGCAGGTGCCAAGTCATGAGTTCAATCTTTGGTACCAAAAAAAAAGGAAAACTAAAAAAAAAAAAAAACCCCACATGGGTGGTTTTTCCTCATGAGGCCTATAAACAAAGGATCTGAAGGTCATTAAGTGGCTCAAAGACATCAAGAGCAGAGCTGTAATCCCAGTACTTGGGAGGCTGAGGCAGGAGAATCACCAGGAGTTCCAGGTCAGCCTGGGCTACACATAAGTGAGTTCAAGGCCAGCCTCCACTAGAAACCACACACACACACACACTCACACACACACACACACACACACACTCACACACACACACACACACACAGGACTGCTACAGATTCAAGTGTGACTCCCTTTTCTAACATCTCCCTCAAGTGAAAAGATGATAGCTGCGTATGATGACACAGTATCATACCCAGTATGAATCTGGCTACTCATGACACCCAGGTTTGGAGGACTGCAGTCTTGAGATCTCCTCAATTTTTTTCTTTTTTTTTATTGTCTTTTTTGAGACAGGGTATTACTATGTAGTTAGGGTTGGCCTCCACCTCATGGTGACCCTTCTGCCTCAGCCTGAGTGCTGAAATTACAGCTTATGCACCACAATGGCTGGCACATATTATTAAATTTGCACACCAAGCGTGAAAAAGGATGGCAAAGAGAAGTGGAGGAGCGATGCCTTTCCCGAAGACTGCACAGGCCTGGATTTGTTGGTCTGGAACATGCTGAGCTGCAACTGGGGCCCAGTGGGCAAAAGGTATGGGAGGGCTCGGGACCCGGAGAGCACCGCTCCACCATGGATGTGCAGCGACTGCCTGCCAGTTACAGAGTGACCAAGGGGACCCCGGCCCTGAGCCTGACCTAAGACAACTCCTGACTGCTGTCTTCAGTTGTTTCAAAAAATATTGAGGGGCTGGGGATTTAGCTCAGCGGCATAAGCTCCTGCCTTACAAGCAGGCAGTCGTGAGTTCGATCCCTGGTACCGATAAAAAACGAAAAAGAAAAAAAAAATATATTGAAAAGTTTTCTGTAGAGGAAGACAGCATTGTCTGGGCCTCAAAGGATTCCTATAAATAATTTTTTAGAAACCCTGTCTAGGCCCAGGGATGTAACTCTGTGGTCCTTGCCTAGTGTTTGTAAGGGTCCGAGTTTTACCAGTACCACAAAAACACACAAACAAAACTCAGCACCCAGCACACAAAAAGTCACTTAGGAATATAAGACAGTGTAAGGATAGCAGGGACAACGGATCAGAGAAATGGATTCACTGGGTGTCCAGATACTGAAACGACCAGCACAGACCATGGAACAAGACACCTATTATAACCAATGACTAAAAGCTAAGATCAGAAAATTAGCTAGAAACAAGAAATTCTTTAAATTTTTCAATTTTTAAAATTTTTTATCTTTTTTTTTGGTACTGGGAATTGAACTTAGGACCCTGTGCTTGCCAGGAAGGTGCTGTGCTGCTGAGCTGTATCATAGGTCCCCAAGAAATTTTTTTAAAATCATCAAGGGGTTGAGGGTGTGTGGGTGGGCTCATGCTTAGCACGTGCAAGTCCCTGGATTCAGTTCCCAGCACCTGAGATAACTGAATGTGTGTTGTAGTCAGGGGTTTTGCAGACAATTAGAATCAAGACATGGAATTTATATTATTTTTATAATGGTCACTGAGAGTTAACGCAAGAAAATGCAGGAAATCTATCTGCAACACCAAAGACACAATATTTAGTCAAGGGCCTAAATCCCACAGCAATGTCCCACATGAGTCCAGATGAAAACCCAGAGCTCATGACAATGCCTCCCACAAGTTCAACTAGAGGTCCAGAGCCCAGAAGAAGGACTCATGCCAGTCTCTTTTACGGATCCGTGCCGGGAAGGCCCAAAGGTCAACAATGGAAGCCAGAAAGTCCATGCCAGTGGGGTGAAGGAGGTGTGTTGGTGGGATGAAGGTTCTACACTGGAGCTGAGGGTTCACACTCACAACGAAGACCAGGGCTGTCCTAAAAGGCATCACAGCCGTCCTCAACAACACGGAGGCCCCGAGCTCCTCCAACAACAAGCACAGTCGGGTACATGCCAGGAAGCCAGGGTGATGAGACTAAGCGGCACACACCTTCCCCTCTGGAGTCAAGAAGCAATGCTTGATGTGAGGACCAGAGCTTCTCTAGGAGAACCAACGGCTCAAACAGCAACTTGTAGGAGAACCCACAATGCCTCAACACCTCAACGCAAGAACGCATCAACGCCTTCTTCACCTCTCTTTTTATGCTGGCAACTTTCCTCAGGTGGAGCATCTATGCTCAGTGCCATGCTGATGTAATGCAGCTGGCATTAAGTTGACCACTGGTTCTTAGTCCATAACAATGTGTAAATAACAAAAATAATATAGTGAATTTAAGCAGAAGGCCATGTAAATTATGGGACTGTGGACGGCCTTGCCCAGCATGCACAAGGCCCTGGGTTCAAGCTCTAGCACCAAAAAACACAATAAAAATGAAATAAAAGAATAAAAGAAGTAAATTCTGGAACTGAAAGTTTTTTTTTTTTTTTGGAACTGAAAGTTTTAATAACCAAAATTACAAATTGCAACATAGGGGTGGAGCTACAGCTCAGTGGTTGTTTGTGGGTGTAGCATGCACAGGGCCTTCAGTTCACCCCTCAGTGCTACAAAAAACAAAACAAAAAAAGACACTGACTAATAAGCATGTAGAGGAGTACTGATCCTTAGCCAGTGGAGAAATGCAAGTCAAAAGGATGGCCTTTTGACTTTTGACTAGGATGGCCAGGAGACGAAAAGAACTGTGACAAGGATGGAGATAAATCAGAACCCTCATGTCTGCTACTGCAAACATGGGCACTGCAGTCATCCTTGAAAATAACTGGGTCAGCCATATTGGAACTTATGGGGCTAAGTAACAAAGCAACACGTCCTCCTTCCTGGTAAGTGGCAGTGGTGGCAGCAAGCGGCAGGTGAGCCAGGAAGAGGACAAGTCAGTGTAGTCAGTGAGCCTATCAGCAAATCAAACGTCCCATTCCCCTTCCCCACGCCACCCCCACCTCCCCCTCAGCAACTGGGGACAGAGGTCTGAGCATCCCTTGGGAGGATGGCCATATGCAATACAGCAAATATGGGGGTTTCCTTCTATCTTCTGTTTGAAGGCACAGGGTGTTTTCACTGTTTTCCTCTGTTCTGATTAACTGTTTTACCCTATTCAATATTTTGTTTTGATAGGTTTTATAATGTTCTATTTTTGGTTTTGATTTTGCTATACCTAATTGACTGGACATCTATTGTGAAGATAAAAAGATATACTGTTATATATTACTGTTATCCAGGTATCCTGCTCTGAAGTTCTGTATCAATGTCACTGCATTGTCTCGATTGGCTTTGTTCTGTCTTGTTCTGTTTCCTGTTGTATTTTACTACCTTCAAAATAAAAAAAACAAAAAGAAAATAAAAGAACTGGGTCATTCCTCGAAAGGTGGCGATGGGCAGGCCTCCCACTGGGCCTGTGATATGTTCCTAGTGTCAGGCTCAGGAGGAATACAAACATGTGCCACACAGAAACTCGTGCATGAAATCCAGAGCAGTGGTATTACTAGTAGAAGTGAGGCAGGGTGGCAAGTGTCTATAATTCCTACACTCTAAGAGACTGAGGTAAAATTTACAAGTTTGAATTCAACCCGGGCAATTTAACAACTTAGTGAGACCATCTCAAAAAAAAAAAAAAAAAAAAATTAAAATAGGGCTGAGGATGTAGCTCAGTGCAAAGAACCTAGGTTCAATTCCCAGTTAAACCAACACAACCACCACCAAAACCAAAAACTAATAAAAACTAATCAAAAAGTGGAAGCAACCCAAACGCTCACAAGCTGATGAATGGATCAACAAAGTGGTTATTATGCATCCTAAAAAGGAACAGGGTAGCAAGCACAAGGCTGTGAGTTTGAGCCCTGGTACTCAATAAATAAACAAACAAACAAAAAAAAGGAACAAGAACCTTGAAAATAAGAACTGATGAAAGAAAGCAGACACCAAAGCCTGCATATGGAATGATTTCATTTCTATAAAAGGTCCAGACTAGACAGATCTGTAGACAGGAAGTGGCTTAGTGACTACCAAGGTCTGGGGAGGGGTGGTGAATGGAAGAAAGATGTCCCTCCATGAAGGAACCAGAGTCTCTTTGGAGTGATGAACATGGTTAAATACAGATCGCACAATTCTCGTGAATATGCTAAAAACAATGTAATCATGTGCTCTAACTGGGCATTGCATGTTAAATGAATTCTCAAAGAAACTATCTTTTTATTTAAAAAAGCAAAACAGAAAAAAAGAGTAAAAATGATAGAGAATTTTTGATCTTTTTTTTTTTTTTTTTTTATCGACATCAGGAATTGAACTCACGACTGCCTGCTTGCAAGGCAGGCTCTTATGCCGCTGAGCTAAATCTCCAGCCCCAGAATTTTTAAAAAATTAAGAAAAAATAATATTAAGAAATCATCACTAGTTGATCTATTACATATTGTTATCTCACAAGTAGTTATTTAAGTTACAAAATCAAAGCATAAAAATGAACAGACAACTGAACAATGATAGCACAACCTATTCTGTTTGATGAACTATCAAAAACTTAGTAGTATGGTTATCTATCTTGCACACTTAAACATATATTCAGTTAAAAAAACAAAACAAAACATATATTCAGTTATATGTGCATACCTACAGGTTGTTCTTTCCTTTCGAGCATTTTTGTTTGCCTCTCAGTATTAGAATATTTATTATACATTTTAGATCCTTACTACTCTTTCAGTTTATTATTCTTTTTTAAAAGAAAGTGGTTGAGATTTCTGGGGATTTAGCTCAGTGGCATAAGCACCTGCCTGGCAAAGCATGAGGTCATGGATTGGATCCCCAGCACACACAAACACAAAAGTGGCTGAGCATGTGGTTGAGTGATTCGCACCTGTAATCTCAGCACTTGCAAGGTCTTGGCTATACTCAAAGCCCTATCTCAATACACACACACACACACACACACACACACACACACACACAACTAGGGGTGGTAGCACAAGTTTTGTAACAACAGCATTCTGGCAGGCTGAGGCAAAAAAATAGTAAATTCAAGACTGGCCTGGACGGCTGGTCCGAAGGTAGTGAGTTAAGTCAATTGATTGTTCACAGTCAGTACAGATTGAACTCCTTGTTCTACTCTTTCCCCCCTTCTCACTACTGCACTTGACTAGTCTTAAAAAAAAAAAAAAAAAAAGACTGGCCTGGACAATTTAGCACTTTGGGAAGACTCTGTCTCAAAATAAAAAAATAGCAAAAGGGCTAGAGATGCAGCTCATTGTAAAGATCCTGGGTTCAATGTCCAAAGACCCTGGGTTCGATGTCCATACTACCAAAAATCGAAACCAAAAACACCCCCAAACCCAAGCAAACTAACAAAGCAAAAAACAAAAAACAAAAAGAAAGAGAAGCAAAATGTAGGGGGGGGGGGAGACAATATAACAGTGGCAGAGCACCTGCCTAGCATATTTAATGCCCTGGCTGAATCTTCAGCATTGTAAAAACAAAACAAGAAAAAAAAAATGACAAATTAAACAGGATGGAAAGATGGAATTAGAATAAAGACAATAATATTAAAAACAGTAAAATAAAAATGAAAAAAAGAGTACTCTGAGAAGAAATGAAACTTAAAAACCTTTTGTGAGATGACAAGGAGAATTCTACTGGGAATAAAAGATATGCCACTACAGATCCTAAAAAGAAACCAAGAGGACCATGTGGTCATACATGTCTGTAGCCCCAGAGGAGGCTGAGGCAGGAGGGTGTCTGCAAGTTCCAGGTCAGCCTGAGCTCCACAATCAGTTTAAGGTCACCCTGAATTTCATGGTGAGATCCTATCTCAAACAAAACAACCCAACACAGTATTCTAGTTAAATATATTAAAGCACATTCCAGGCCTGTACAATTTCATGAGCAACTTCTGAAGCAGGAGACTATGGGATCCTTGACAGAACCAGCAAGACATGGAGTTTTAGGGACAAAGGGCAGAGAGTTTAGACAGGGCTTTCCACCTCTGCTGTGGTCCACTGACATTCATCTCACAAACATGCCCATACTTGGCCAGGGTCATAGCTGGCAGTCTCTTAAGGAAGCTTAGCTGCAGTTTCCCCAGGAGCTTGGCTTCAGTTAACCCATATCTGTTCAATTTCACTCTGAAGCAGTCTCCTCTCTCACTTCTATCAAATACTTAAAGAAGAAATGATCAAACTTGAATTAGCTCTAAGCTGAAGTAATCATTTCATCAATTCATTTTAAGGGTAGAACAGTCTTGGGTGTTTGCTAGGGATTGAACCCAGGGCCTCTGATCTGATAAGCTGATGCTCTCTACCCTTGAGCTACACATCCTGCTCTTTCTTACATTTGTATTTCATATCTATGTTCTCACTGTCTTGCCCAGGCTGGCCTGGAATTTGTGATCCTCCTGCCTCAGCCAACCAACTGGGATTGCAGGAATGCCCTACCATGCACATTTTTGGGGTCACTTTTATAAATAGCACTCCTAATAACACAATGGGGTTTGGATGTCACCGTAAGAATCTGGGGAGACATAACTGTTACCCAAGTTTCAAAACTCGTGAGTCACCCTAGACATTTCCGCTAGCAGATAGGTGCTGTCATTTATTTATTTAGAACTAGGGATTAAACCTAGACCCAAGTCGTTCACCCCGAACCACGCGACCAGCTCTTTTACTTTTTATCTGTTTTGGTTTTCTCACACAGAGTCTCGCTAAAGCAGCTCGGGCTTGCCTCCCTGACTTCAGCCATCGTCCTGCCTCAGCCTCCAGCGTGCTGGGATCACAGGTGTGCCGCCACGCCCAGCTCGCCCTGTACTCTATAAAGCTCACCACCGCTGCTAGGCTCCACCTTGCCTCGACAGACGTAACCAGCCCAGTGGGAAGAGCGGGGCATTGGCTTGACTCTCCCTCCCTCTCAGTCTTGGCGGCCGAGGGGCCCTCAAGCATCTCCCAGCGCCGGGCCACAATCAGCGCCCTTCAAAAGCAGACGCTCCAGTCAGCGGGAGCTCCGGCCCAGGATGCGGTCCCAACCGTGGGCTCCATCCCCAGCTCCCCGTGTGGCTCGAACCCAGCCTGGAACCTGCAAGCCAGGGTGAAGCCGCCTGGTCCAGCCATGAGCATCGGAGAAATCAGCTGGGGCGTTCGCGGCAGCCCCTCGCAAGGCCAGCAGCTCACGGCTCAGGGGCGGAGCCTGGCGCTGCTCTTGCCTGCTCATTGGTCCTCGCGTTGACGGACAGGCGGGGAGGACACACGGCGAGGCTAAGCTAATGAGCTACTTGGCAACAGGCATTTGGGCCAGAAAATAATAGGAGGCTGCGGCAGATGGGGAGGTAGCGGCGGTGTGCGTCTGGGAAGTGCTGCGGCTTGGCTGGGTTCACCCTCTTCCCTCGAACTGGGGCCGGGAAGTCCGTTCTAACAGGAGAGCCAGGGGGCCCGCCCTCTCGGCCATCTTTACTCCGAGCCTTTTGGGGCTCCAGGTCTCCGGGGCGGCTTCATTCGCAGGGTTTAAGCGTCCGTGTCCCTACCTGCCCTCTGGCTTCATTCCGTCTCTGGTCATGGTGAGGGAGGTGCCCACGGGTGAGGGCTGACTGCCAAGAGACGCTCTGAGTAGCAAACCGAGGCGTATCCTCGGCTTGAAACCACCATGTCCCTTTAGCCCCAGCCCCACTTGAGGAAAGGACTGCGGCCATCGCTCTCCTTCTCCAGCTCTCTGAGCTGCTCTGGCCTTGCTGCCAGCAAGCCTCACTTAGTGCATCCCTGCGGGGGTGGGGGCTGTCTTGATCAGGGATACCAGCATCTGGGCCACCCTGTGCCACCGCACAATCACAACACTTGTCACAGCTCAGACCATGACTAACTTCAGGGAGGGCCATGTGTGTTTAAGACATGGAACCCTAAGTCTTGCACAGTATGCACAGAGGCACAGAGAGGGGGTCAAGAAATGGATGCTTCATGGTTCAATGCATGAACTTCAAGGATGAAAGCAGATTGTGAAAGGAGGGCTTTTACTGGCTTATAACCCAGTGCTTTAGAGGCTGAGCCAGGAGGATCAGCTTGAGCTGGAGGCCTACCTAAACTACCATGTGAGAACCTGTCTCAGAAACATAAAATAAAATGGAAGCTGGGCCAGGGATTTAGCTCAGTGATAGTGTGTGTGCCTAGCATTCATTTGGCCCTAGATATGATCCTGACTGCAAAGGAAATAAAATACCATACTGAGCTATAGCATTTTTAGGGCTCATCAAGGATACAAATGATACCTGTCTTCACTATGAATCCTGACAGATAACGAGGTGGCACTCCTTTTTATGTATGTAAACAGGGTCCTGATGGCCAGTAGCAAAATGACCGTTTAGTTAGGGGAATGGCTGGGCTGAGGGAAATTCACACATCTTAGAAGGGTGTGTTTGTGTGTGACAGACAATGAGAATGGCAGGTCCCAGGAGGTGTTTACTATAATCAGTACTCAAAGAGGGTGGGGTGGGGCTCCCCGGTCTGATCCTCCAAGGCTCTGCAGTGACTCATTCTTCCTTGGACTCAGGGGCAGGGCTGACATTTGTTCCCCTAGTTGGAACCTGCTCCCCCCTGGCATCCCCAGTGTCTCCAGTCACTAGAGCCACGCTCCTCAGATAATTGAGGTTGAAGCACTTGGTCTGTTCATCCTCAGGCTTCCGGTCACAGCACGAGGCAGAATCTCTCCAGAAGTTCCGTCGAGGACCACAGAGATCCTCAATGAAAGCTAATTTCTGATGGAGAAGAGTAAAATAGACATGTTGGGGGCATCCAGAAGTCAGGCATTGATACCTGGCTTACTGTCCTCCTCGCATCAGCTGCTCCTGTTCTCCCATTGGATCCTTTCCTGGGACCTTGAGAGTGTATACAGGGCTGCCTTCATAGCTGGATTCCTTGTGACTGACAGATGTGGCTGCACATCTGTCAGTCACAAGAAATGCCAGAAGCTTGACACCCAGAGAAGGCATATTTGGAACTTAGGGGTGGGGAGCAGGCCAGGCCAGGAACCAAGGAAATAGATCCTTCTGGCCAGCGCTGCCTGGAGGTATGACAGATAAGAACAGCCTGCAACCCTAGCCCTTTCCCTCGTTCCCCTGCATTCCTCTGTGGACTGGGCTCCCTTCCACACAGCTCACCTCCTCCTCAGCACAGCAGGCCTGCTCTGGAAATGGCAGCTCACAGCAGCGGGCAGTCATGTTCCGGATCAGTCCGGGAATGTGTTGACTATGTTGTTATAAAAAAGGAAGGGGTGAGGGTCTTTGAATATCTCCTGGTATCAAATGCTTGGGGACCATAGTTTGCTCTCTAAGGACATCCCAAAAGGAGTGGAAGGGAAAAATATTAGGGAAGAACCAGGCAAGACTTACTACTTGGTGATAATTCTTCCATTTCCACAGAGATGGCCCATGAGGTTGGGGGTGACTCGGCTGAGGTCAAGGGTCAAGATGTCCCGATCATAGTTGGGATAGGGAGCCCGCTGGGCAAAGCATTCATCACGGATGGGACTGGGTGGGTAGTGGCAACACATGTGGTGGTGGGTTTTTACTGCCTGCTCCTGGTCACAGTATCGGTCCAGGGCATCCTCCCACTGTGGCAAGAGAGGGAAGTCAGAAGCCTATGCACTTGGCCCTTTCTCTCACCATCTACTTCCCTCAGCAGCCCAGCTCTGAGACAAGGCACTCCAGCCTCAGGCCAGAGGGAAAGTGAAGAACGAGGCAGCTGTGGATGTGCCAGCTTGGGAAGCACAGACAGACTGCCTTTTGAGGTAACCATGGATACATGCTAGAACAGCTGGTGGAGAGGGACAGGTGAGGCAGAACTGGGTGGACAGGTTGCAGCCTGGTGTATGGTGGTCCTGGACTCATGGGTGGATGAAGCCAGGACTGTGCACGAAGGCTCAGATGAACAGGCTCATGACAGACACACGGACGGACAGACATATGGGTGAACAGTCACAAGCAGACGAATGTGGACGTGCTCACTGCAGGGAGGCACATGGATGGATGGGTCAGCGGACTCAGAGGTCAGAGACGGGCAGGCTGGAATGCCCACTTACAGCCTTCCGCGCACAGGTGTGGTCATTCCCCTGGCGGCAGCAGCGCTGAAACTCAACCTCCAGCTGCATCAGAACCTGCAGCTGCCTTTCGATGGTGTCAGTAGCTGGGAGGTTGCGTGGCATGTAACGCAAGCGTTTCAGGTGGCAGATGTTGTTGACATTGTCCAGGGTGGGCAGCCCAGGAGGAAAAGGTACCTCCAGGCCCACAGAAATACCAGGCTGGTGACTGGGGTAGGCCTGGAGCTGGTAGTGTGGTCGAAGAGCTCCCTCCTGGAAGCAAGTGAACCGGGCCTCTCCCTGCTGCTTGCAGCACGAGTATGGTCGTGTCTTGACCGAGAACTCAGCCTCACAGAACTGGGTCATTGAGTTCTCCCACTAGAGCGACAGGGGTGGATCAGCCCAGAAGCCCCCTGCCCACATCCCTGCCTTCCTCCAAGGTCCAAGAAGGAATCCCCAGCAGCTGGGTAAGAAGAGTAGCAGCAGTTGTCCTCTGCCCTCCTGACACACTGGAATCACATGGGCCAGCACATGGGCTCTGAGGGTCCTCCACCCCAAGCAGCAGAATCCCAGCCCTTACCACAAGTTTTGCACACTCCAGGCGGTGTGTGGTGCTCTGGCAGCGGCAGCAGCGGGAATAGCCAGTCTCCAACAAGTTGAGGGTCTCGCCCTGGCGGCTGAGGTGGGAGTAGCCAGTCTGGGGCAGGTTCCACGGGCCGTACAACACGGGTTGCCGGTCCGGGAGGCAGATTTGGTTCAGATTGTCTGCAGAAGGCCGCCCGGGGGGGAAGCCTTCCAGGCGGTGGCCCCAACCCCCTCGGAATCGGCCTCGTTGGCAGTGCTGGGCTGGGTTCCAGGACTGAGGATCCGAAGGACCCTGACCAGTGAGGGGACCAGACTTTTCTGCAAGGGGGAAAACAGTGAGGTGTGGATGTGGAGGGTTCAACATAGGCTGGACAGGCGGGGAGCAGTGAAAGAAGTGGGATGAGGAAGGAAGGCTGGGATGACACTGGGAGAACGAGCAGGGGGTTAATCTGGGTTCTTACTTTTGGGATAACTGACTAGAAAGGGAAAGAGAATAAAAGCATAAAAAGGGTCACTTGGAGCTGCCCCTTCCTTCCAAGACCCTGCTGCTTCCAGGACCCTGCCCAGCTCCTCTCCCCAGGGCCCAGGCATTCTGGCAGGGGTTGGGGAGACCCATGCTGTCACTCACCCTCTGTCTGTCCGGATGGGAATATCTCCTTCTGGTGTGTGACAGGGGAGCCCACTGAAGTAGGAGAAGCATAAGTGAAAATTATACTGGTGTGGGCAACAGGCACTGGGCTAGTCGCCTTCATAAAGAAGAACTCAGTAGAGAAGCAAGTGAAAATAACTATTGTCACATCATTTAATCACATAACTGTTAAATAGATACTATGTTTTCAGTTTTACAGATGAAGAAATTAAGGCTTGGAGACATGAGTAACTCCTCTGAGGTGAGGGCTGGTATGCAACAGGACCACTGGCTTGCCTGCCTATGGAGTAAGACCTGGGGTGAAGTGGTCTAGAGCAGAGTGGGAGTTGCTTACTTTGTTTCTGTCCAGTAGGGTGCCGGAGAGGGGTCACCTCTTGTTGGAGAGGAATCTCTTCCTGAGGGCCAGGAGTGTCCACTGGAAGACAGGGGTGAGGACACAAGGGGTGCAGATGAGACTGCACCAGCCAGCTCACAGGGCTAGAGGCTGAGAATAAGTGCTGGCTCACCTCTCTTTGCATTGGGGTGCTGGAGAGGGGGTACCTCCTTCTGGAGAGGGATCTCTTCCTGAGAGACATAGGGAAAGTTCACTGCAAGACAGGAGTGAGAACACAAAGGCTGCGGATCCCACCAGGCTCAGAGAGCTGGTGAAGGAAGAAGTAGGGAATGAGCATGTGTTCACCTTTCTTTTCAACAGCTTGTGAAGGGAGGAAACTGCCACCGCGCAGGAGCTATAGCCTTTCTGGCCGCTGGCCAGGCGGGGCTGCTTGACTTTGCCAAACAGCTGGAGAAGTAGCTGAGGCCTTACCTTCCATCTGTCCCTCAAAGGAAGGGTCACGTTGAGAAGAGTCATGAGGACCTGCGGGGAGGCCTCGGCTCCGGCTTACAGGCGGGGATGGGGGTTCTGCATAGCCGACTAGAGACAGAGGAGAGACAACCTGCAGCTCTTCCTGGACTCCCAGTCCCATTTTGCTCCTCCAAACTCTCATCTTCCCTCTCTTTTAGGTGTTACTGAGGATGGAACTCAGGTCCTCACATGTTGGGCAAATGCTCTACCATTGAGCTACATCCCCAGATTCTTCACCTTTTTATTTCGAGACAAGGTCTAGCTAGATGCTCAGGCTGGCCTCAAAATTTTAATGAGCTGGTTTTTTTTTTTTTTTGGTACCGGGGATTGAACTCCTGACCTTGCACTTGCCAGGTAGGCTCTTAGGCCACTGAGCTAAATCCCCAGCCTCCTGGCCTCAAAATTCTGATTGGACTGCCTCAGCCTCCAGAGTAGCCAAGATTACAGAAATGTCCCACAGTGCCTGGCTCTTACCTTCTTCAAAGCGCTGAATGGGATGCAATGGTCGCGGTTCTCTCTGTCTTACAGGCGTAAAGCCTGGGAGAAAAAGGACAAGTCAGGCATAGTTTTGCGGGAGCCTCTCCTGGCCCTGAGCAAAGATGGTGAGCTGTGGGGGCTGAGTATAGGAAACCAACCAGGACAAGGGAACCATTCCTAGACTGTGCCTGCCCTGTGTCCCCTAGTTGTGACTGGGTTCTGAGAAATCCTGGTCCAGGGCCCAGACCTAAAGAGAAATGACATGCGGTGAAGGACAGAAGCTAATTTCCCACCAGCAGCTCTCTGTAGGTCTGTGGTATCCTCTCATCAGCTACTCTGTGATGCTTTTTAGCTTTCTGAAAAGGCTGACCTAGCTGTCCAGGGCCTCACCTGCCCATGTCCTCCACCCCTTGCCCTACCCCAGGCCCTTTAGTATCTTTCAGTCTTTTGATAAGATTTCCAACCAAAAATTTAAGTGTGTCCCTTAAACTGGTTTTAGCTCCTCCTAAGCCTAGTTCTCAATTCAGGAACTGGGGGGGGGGGGGGACGACACTTGGCCAAGCACAGACAAAAGGAATCACTGGGAGCTGATCTGCAAGCACAAAAGACTAGGAATTAGGAGAGGTGATAAAGTAGGGCTTTACCAAGATGTGATACTCTCTCAAATCTCTTTCTAGTTTTTGTTCAGGCAACAAGGCATACAGAGTATGTACCTGAACCATAGAGGATGAAGTGTAACCAATGACTCAGTAATCAAGCATCCCTGGCTCAGCAAGCTGATTTTTTTTAGATTTTTGAGACAAGGTGTTACTATATGGTTCATTTTGTCTTTGAACTATTATAGTCCAGGCTGGTCTCAAACTTGTGGCAAGTCTCCTGCCTCAGCCTTGACTGCTGGCCTATTTTCATGTACTACTCAGGAAACCGGTTTTGAGCAGGGAAGGGGAAACACTTCCCTCCCTCACCTAACCCTAACCCTCCCTCACCCGCCCCACAGCCCTCTCACCTACATCTTCCTTAGGCAAAGGTCCTTTATTTTGTGTTCACCTCCTGCTCAGCCGTCTATTTGAGTCCAGTTCTGAGTTTCTTGGCAGCAATCTCTAGGAACTTCTCTTCCTCCTCCCATCCCATCTTCCTCCTCAGTGCCCCAGCCCCTCTTGGGCCAACTCAGAAAAGGGGAAGCCAGATCAACATGCCAGTGAGGAGCCAGGCTCCTTCCAAGTGCTGACCCCACCCCTACTCACCTTTCTCAGAAGCTGCAGAAATCACTGCCACACAGGCCAAGATCACAGCTGCTCTGGACAGGACCCTCATTCTGGGGCCACCCAAAAGCTGGCTTGTCTGGGCAGACCTGGGTTTGAGGCACTGGGCTCCTGGAAGCCAGCTCCTCTGGTTGCTTGCTATTGCTGCTGTGAGCTCCTGGGCCAGCTCCCTTTTATATGCAGACTGGTGTTATCCACCCTCTTCAGCTTCCTGCGGTGACTCAGTGCTAGCTGCTCCTCCTCTAGCAGCCACTCCTCCCCAACTCACAAGGAGGCCTCCTCCGAGTATTGAGAAGAAAGGAGGCAAGAGGAAGGGAGCATCTGGATGTTTCTAGGAGAAACTGACTCAGAATCATGGGGCAAGAGACCTTTGAGCTACTAAATTTGCACCTCGCTTTGCCAGTTGCCTTCTGTGGAAAAAGGATTTGACAACTTACTGAACTGGTTTGGGGAACAGGGTACTAAGGAGTTAAGAGTAGCTAACAGGACCATTGTCTCAGCAGCAGGCCTAAGTGTAGGTCAAAGAAGGGACTGGGCCAGGCATATGCTATAACTCCAGCACTTGGGAGGCTGAGGCAGGAGGAGTGGCATGAGCTGAGTGAGGAATGCAGTGAGACACTGTCTTCTTTTTACTCGCCTTTCAGGAGTCAGAGAAGAAGACATGTACCCCACAGCTTCCAATTTATTTTTTCATTTTACTCTTTATATCCAAACACAGTTTCCTTCCCTTGGTAGGCCCGAAACAAAGTCTCTTCAGGGGAGTACATATATGCAGTTCTGAGGCTCTTGGACTGTCACTTGGGTTGGATTAGGAGACACTGATGGTTCTAACAGATCTCTTTGCCTCATCCACAAGTAAAGGCTCAGAAAACTTCTTCAGCATTGGAGACCCTGGCATTCTGCAGCTCCAGTAACCGCTGCACCGCTGCTGTCAAGTCCCGCTCCCCAAGTTGGCGATTATCTCGAGTCCGTATGTTCACTGTTCTCTTATTCTGCTCCTTCTGGCCAATCACTGCAGGAAGAGGAAGGGAGGTTTAGGAATCTCAGGGCAAATTCACTGACATGGGCTATTTCCTTTCCTTTTGTGGAAACTTACAAGACTCAAATCTTTAGGAAGAGCAACAGAAGAGTCTGAATACAGTTAAAAGGAGAATATATTTAGCTGTGCCTGCTCTCCAGCTAACTGCTTATCCTGAGCAGATAAGGAAATGTTCCAGGCTTTCCATACCTTATCACTTCCGGTCAGGAGCCCAAGGGTCAGAGATGAGTTGGGTCAGTGAATGACAGATCAAGAATGATACAAAAAAAAAAAAAGTGTATTTGGGGAGTGGCTCTTGGGGGAAGGGGAACGCCACAGGAATGGCACATACATGCAAACCCATGGGACTCTGGGACAGCTTATGTTATGCAGAGCAAGTGGTGTAAAACTAGACCCTGCCTGGCTGAGGAGACTGTGCTTCCTGCCTTCAAGAGCTCTTAACTCAGTCGGGTATGGTGGTACACTCCAACAATCCCTGCTACTCAAGAGGCTAAAGGCAGGAGGACTGCCAAATTCAAGGCCATCCCAGAAAACCTAGTCAGAATCTATCTTAAAATAAAGGCGGGGGATATAACTGAGAGAGAAGGTGGGAGCTGGGGATGCAGCTCAGTGGTAGAGCACTTGCGCAGCCCGTGCAAGGCCCAGGATTTAATCCCCAGCATAAAAAAATTCCCTCATCCCTCAGGGCTGACTCATCCAGGCACATGTAAACAAGGCTAATCAAAGACTTAACCTTTCTATCCCTTTCTCTCTGATGCTCCCTTGGCTAATTAATTAAACAAATTAATTAACAGCAGGGAAACTATGCCAAGGGGCAGAGGTGATTGTAGGGCAAAGTGACAGTGTGGACATGGACATACAGGACAAATTCAGCAGGCTCCCTCAGCTCGGTAATAAGCCCCAGTGAACCTGCTGTGCACATAGGAGAGCTTAGCAGAGGGAAGAAAGGGGACACAGCAGGCAGGTAAGAGAATTTCGGCCAGATCTGAGGTGCCAGGTGGACCCTCTCTCTTACCAAACTGGAAATTGTAGTGAGCAAGCTGGGCACGGCGGACTTTCCGGCTGAGAGTCAGTCCCCAGTCAGTGTCCAGGTCACTGGCCAGTCCTGAGGCCTGCAGGCTCTGGTGTATCTGTTGACAAGAAGCAAATGGGAGGCTGAGGAAGCAGACTTCTGACCACACTCATCCTCACCTCCACCTCAGCTCTCTTCCCTTATCACCAGAGGCCTCCTCTCATCTCCACTCTGATGTTTCCTCTCCAACCTACAACTCTTGTCTAACTCCTACTGAAGAGGAGCCCTCAACTATTCCCTGGACTTCACCTGCTGCTGGCCACTGTTCCACCCAGGCAGCTGCTCGAATAAGGAACCATCTCACTTCTCAATTCTCTTTAGAAAGGAAAGACAGCTGCGTGTGGTGACCCATGCCTGTAATTTCCGCACTCAGGAGACTGAGGCAGGAAAATTGCCAAGGGCTGGAGGCCAGCATGATCTGTGTGAGACCCTGTCTCATCACCCACCCACCCCCACACACACACAAAGAAGAAAATATAAAACCAACATTGGGTCAAAGATATAGCTCAGCAGCACCTGCCTATAAAGAGTGAGTTTTGAGTTCTATTTCTGGTACCTTCCACCCGCCAAGAAAAATAATGCCAAATAAAACCAACATTTACCCAAACCCATTTTTGTGCCATGTCAGTGTTTAACATTTGTTAATATAATTTTTTGGCATGTCTACAAGACAGTAATTAGTTTTTTGGGGGATTAAACACAGGGCTACTGCACTGGGTTACAACCTCAGCCCCCTTTTTAAATTTTGAGATAGGATCTCACAAGTTGCCTAGGTGAGACTCAAATTTGCAACTCTAATGCCTTAGCTTCCCAAAGTGCCAGGATCCTAGCTGTGTGCCATTATGCCAGCTTGGCTCATTTTTCAGATAGAGTTTGGAGCATACAGGACAGCTGCTACTCACGCCTAATTTGTGTCCCCTAGGACTATGCCCATCCCCTGACCCTGCATGGCCTCATCCTGCCCAGTGCTGGGCACCACACTATGGCTGCTCCCACCCCAGCTTCTCACCTCCCTGGCATATTCCTCCTGCTCAGTCCCCACAGGGATGACCACCACTTGGAACGGGGACAGCCACAGGGGCCTGGTTAGGAGGGAACAGGGCAACACATTACTCATTCTGGCAGTGGGCAGAAGGGTAGCTTCAGGGTGCGGATGTAAGAAGGAAACAGTGGGATCTAAAGGGACAGGACTTGGAGTAGGAACTATTCATTTGTGGGTCAGAGGAGAAGCGGAGCATCAGGATCTCACCATTTCCCCCCACAGCTTTCAGCCAGCACTCCCAATAGCCTCTCCACAGAGCCCAGCACTGCCCGGTGGATAAGGACTGGGCGCTCTAGGGCTCCCGCCTGCCTGGGAAGGAGAAGAGAATAAGTGGGTGGCATGGTGACAGTGCCACAAACTGCACCCAGCATCATCTGCCTTCCAGTTTTTTTTGTCTTTTTCCTTTTCATCAGTACCAGGGATCGAACTCACGACTGCCTGCTTGCAAGGCAGGCGCTTATGCCGCTGAGCTAAATCCCCAGCCCTGCCTTCCAGTTTTTGAGAAATGCTCAGCCCTGGAAAGGGAGGGAACAGAGGACTTTGTTGAGTGCAGGGGCAGTTGCTCCCCCACCCCATGGGCTGCTGAGGGATAAGGGGCAGGTTCTATACCCCTTGTATTGGAGGTTGAATCTCAGGGGCAGCTGGAAGTCCAACTGGATTGTCCCACACTGATGGGGCCGCCCCAGAGCATCCTGGAGGTATGCATCAATCTGGAGGAGGAAGATGGAAGGTATGAGAATAGAGTGAGCCACGCTGCTTCCTACCACACATGTCCCTGAACACACGGCAGTCACATCACCCAGGGTGCTCTACCTCTCCAAGTCACTCTGTGTCACCTACCCTGGCAGTGGCCCCCTGCTCTTAACAGCAACATGAAATAACCAGGGGATCTGTGTATGACAGCCCCTCAAGTCCTTGCATCCCTCACCCCACCGTGTGCAGGACTGCACCTTCATCCTGTCACCTCTCCCCAAGGCTCTGCTGCCTAAACAGCCCATCAAACACCGACTCTCATTTGGCTTTCTTATTCAAGGTGACAATTATTCCTACTCCTAGCTCTTCAAATTTACTCCTCTCTTCTATTCCCATCCAGCAGCCCCTCCCTCTGTTTCACTGCCCGAACAGCTGTAACTGTGTCCAAATTCCCTTGTACCATTAATAGCTCTTTCTTCACAACTTGTGGCCAAACCCCACCCTGAAGGCACCTCAGCCTCCTACCTCCTTGGCCCAGATGGAAATGCTCAGTGCTGCCCACCTTGTTACCTAGCACATGGATGCCAAAACAGACTGACAGCACTATGCAAGGTGCTGCTTGCAGGCCAGGACGGTCCCGGCAGTCCTGCAATCCTCTGGCTGCCCTAACCAGTCTTTACCCATGTTCTCCTCCAGGATTTTTTTTTTTTTTTTTTTGTCCTAGGAATCAAGCTTATGACCTCGCACTTGCCAGGCAGGCACTTGTGCCACTACTCTAAATCCTCAGCCCCTCCTCAGGGACTTTCAAGTCTTTTTCTCTTTGTTTTTATAACAGTATGTTGGTAAAAAATTTATTAGGCTGATTTATTGTAATATATACTTTTTTTGGTACTTTAAAAAATTATTGGTACATTGTAGAGACACATAATGATGACATTCGTCATGGGGAATTTGCATCTGTACATGATATATCTGGGTTTTTTCCCCCCTCATCCTCCTTTTCTCTCTCTTCAACCCTTCTTCCTCTACTTGTTTCCATTTTCCTCATATTCTCTTTTTTTTGTCCTTGTTTCCTTTTCCCCTCCTCTCTTGGTTGTTCCCCTTTTTTAATATTTTCTTCCAATTTCCCAATACCTGTTATACATTTTGGTTCTTATGTGCACTTTCGGTTTCACATACCAGAGAAACAATGTGGTATTTATGGTGTTTTGTTTTGTTTTTTTGAGACAAGGTCTCACTATGTAGTTTGGACTGGCCTAGAACTCACAATGATCCTCCTGCCTCTGCCTCCTGAGCTCTTGGATTACAGGCATACACCATCACACGTGGCACAATGTGGTATTTAAACATGAGTGTCCAATTTATTTCACTTAAGAGTATAGTCTCAAAGTGTGTCCATTTAGCTAGAAATGGCTCAAGATTATCTTTCTTTGTGGTAAAGTAGTACTCCACTGCATAATACATAGTTTATCACTGACGGTTATCTCTATAACCTTAAGTGCACTATTAAATCTTTTTGAAATTTTCTTCTTCTTAGTAACACCAATTTTTTGTACTAGGGATTGAACCCAGGATCATCACACTGAGTTACTTCTCTAGTCCTTTTCCTCCTGAGTCAGCCTCCCAGAGTGCTGGGATCACAGGTATGTGCCACCAGACCCAGCTAGAGCCTTTTCTATGTTAGGCAAGTACTCTGTGACTAAGCTAATTCTGCAGCTCTATTGTCTTTTTGTTTTGTATTGTTTCTGGTAACAAGGCTAGCTTTAAACCCTTGGATTCAAGTGATCCTCCTGCCTCAGCCTCTGGAGTAGCTGAGATTACAAGTGTGAGTCACCTCACTGGGCTCCTAATAGCCTTTTAATTGAATCCAGCAGATACTTGTCAGTCCTTTCCCTTTCTGTATCTACTGAGTAGCTAAATTGCTAGACTAGGTTTGAACTTGATCCTCCAGCTTCTGTCTTCTGGAATTATAGGTATGTGCTACCACATCTGGCTCACCACTCATCATCAATTTCTCTCATTTCTTCTGAATTACCTTGTCAGTCTTCACCCCTACCTATAGGCTCCACCTACATTGTTCCTTCCTGAAACAGCTCTTTACTCAGGCAACAATGACATCTTGGGATTGGAGAATGATTGTTTTTTGTTGTTTTTGAGACAGGGTCTTGGTATATTTCAAGCTGGCCCTGAACTCACTATGCAGTCCAGGTGAAGCATGAACTCATGGTGATCCTCCTACCTCAGCCTCCCAGGGCTAGGATTACAGATATGTGCTACCATGCCCACCTGGACAGTGGCTCTTGTACAAAGCCCGTCCTGTGTCCTGAGCAATCTAACTCCTTTTGCTCTCTTAGTACTTAATGTAGCACTGACCCAAAGCACTGATATGGCCTATGTACCTTTTGCAGCTTTCATTAGACTGTAAGTTCCAAGTTGGCAGGGAATAAAACATTCTTCTTTATATCCTACACAAATTTTAAGTTATTGCTTTGCATATACTAAATATTTAATGAAACAAAACAAAATATAATCTGGGCATGGTAGTATACACCTGTAATCCCAGTACTTGGGAGGCTGAGGTAGGAGGATTGCTGTGACTTTGCTGTGCTGATTCTCCTGGGCACTCAGACTGGGCTACATAAGTGAGTTCAAGGACAGCCTGTATTACATAGCAAGATCCTCTCAAAAAACCCAACCCTCCCCCCAAAATATGAATAAATACTATACGAATGGTCCCCAGTTTACCTTAGGTCCATAGAAGGCACCATCTCCAGGCTTAAGGTCCCAGGGTTTTCCAGATTCCTCTAAGGCCTGCTGAAGGACCTTTGGAAGGAATGAGTCAAGAGGAACATGTTACCTGGGGCTTCACAAACACCACCACTCATCATTGCCCAGTGACTCCTAGCATGACTCCATGGTAGGATAGTGGTTACCACCTTCACCCCCACCCCCACCGCAGAGTGGTTTATTTCTGCTTTCCTCCAAGCCTGCTTACCTGTTCAGCATGGTCCCAAAGGTGAGATTCCCCCAGGAAGCCACTTGGCCGGGTGGACAGTGACAGATGGAAGGAGAAGCCAAGAACAGCATAGACAGAGTGGAGGAAATCAAGACAGCCTCGAATCTCTCCTTGTAGCTAGGGGCAGGAAATAAGAGAGGGTGAGGGGTATATCAGCTAGAGATCTGGGATAATGGTAGTTTGGGGGAAAAGACAATGAAAATACAGAGGGGAAGTGGAAGGCAGCTACAGGCAGTGGTAGCAGGACTGTATTATATACAGAGGGCAACTGAGGATTAAAGATGCTTGGAAGTTCATTAACATAATTAAAGGTGGGTCAGGAGATACTCTGGTGGGGCCAGGAAGAGCCACCTGATTAGGTGCACAGAAGATGTGAGCGTCATCTTGCTGGAAGCGCCAAAGTCGAGTCAGTCCCCCCAGGCTGCCAGAGGCCTCAGCTCGATGCAGGGCTCCGAAGTCAGCTAGTCGCACAGGCAGCTCCCGCCAGGATCTGGGCCGGTGGGCGAACATCAGGCTGAGATTGAGGAGGGGAAAGGGTCAGGGCCATAGGGAAAACCAGCACCTGACAACTGCTCCTCCCCAACTGCCTGTGTATTCCCTGCACCTCCAGCTAGCATTCTCTCTGCCAAGTGCCCATCACAGTTTGAGCCAACCGGGGTCAAAAGCCAACTTGTCAGTCACATACAGTAACAACATCATTTACCATTCTCCCATTCTCAGTGATGGACACTGAGCTTTGATGCTACTTGTTTTCAAAATTTTGTTTACTTTTTATTTTTTTGACACAGCATCCTCTCACTATGCAGTTCAGGCTGGCCTTTAAACTCATGGTGGTGCTCCTGTGTCAGTCTCTGTGTGTCACCACGCCCGGCCTGATATTCCTTGTAAGGAGACTGAGACTCAACAGGTAGAATGATTTCCTCAAATCCATTGGGTTGGCTAGAGGGCAGATTCTAGAGTCAAATCAGATGTTCTACTACTCTTTCCCAGCTGTTTGCCAGCCCCAGGAGGACCCAGTTGTCCTCGCTCCCAGCTCACCAGTGTGCAGGGCAGTTCATGGGCTTGAGAGCAAGTGTCTCTGTGGGAGGCCTGGCAAAGTGGTCACTCTGGGAGCTGATGGGCCTGCTGGAGCCCTTGGGCTGCAGGGTAAATATGTCTTCCCTGTAGTGCTCCCAGTGTCCTGACTGTTCCCACAGTTTCGCAGAGAACAGTGTGGGGGTTTTCACCTCTGAAAAACCGTGGCGGGCATACTGAGCCTGGAGAGAGAGCAAGACATGGAAGGTTAGTATCACTGAAAGGAGAAACAGCAGGAAGACTGCTGGCTGATTCTCTTGGGCACTCAAACTGTGCTGACTTCAGCCACAAGTTGTTATGTGCCCTCTTCCTGCTCTCCTACAGATGCCCACAACTGCAGGACCTTACTGCAGATCACCAGCACTTTACAGTGTATGCTTCCTATTTTCCTCTCTTAAACCCCATGGCTTCTAGGCCCTAGTCCTTCCTTTCCCTTTTTCCCCTGGACTTGGTCTCCTTACCCTGATGAACGCCACCAGGGCATTATATACCCTGGTTCCACGTGGCAGGAAGAAGCAGCTTCCAGGGCTAAATTCATGGAAAAAGAAGAGTTCCTGATCCTAGGGACAGAATGGCAACTGTCATTTCAAGGTGGGGCAGGGGACCTCAGAAATCAAAGAAACAACTGACAGAGCTGCAGAACCTGTTTACTGAACCTTCTTGCAACCTTGCAGTTAGGTTCTTCCATTTCTCTCCACCCCATATCACCACTTTACCCTATTCCCGAGATCTGTACCTTTCCAATGCGCCTGTGGTCCCGAGACCCTGCTTCCTCCCTCTGTGCTTCCCACGCCCTCAGCAACTCCTCCGTGGGGAAGGAAATCCCAGACACTCTCTGCAGTGCCTCTAGACTCGATGAAGATCTCCACAGGGCCGAGGAGCTCTGCAGGACGACAGAGGGAATCAAAGGAACGAGGACAAAGGTGTTTGACTCTTTTCAAGCCTCAAGAGATAGTCAGTGTAAGCGGCACAGGTTCACCCCCTTCAAGCTGGTCCCACCCCACCTTGCTTGTCATTGCCTCCGACTGGAAAGATGGGAATCCTTGCTCTGGACCCCTCTGGCCATACTTACAATTTAGGGTTTGCTGCGCTGGGTTCCTACATTAGTCTTGGTCAAGCCCAGTCTTACCTGCCACTTATGTCTCCCCATTCTCACTGCCCTAGTAGTATTCCTATACTTAGCTCCTTCCCTTTCTAATGAGTTGACTGTTCAGAGAAGTAACTGAACTTCAGGTAAAAGCCAGTTTATCCATCCCCTTATGAATACTCCACACAACTCCTAGAAAAGTCAGACTTCCTTCCATGAATCCTATTTCTGGTCACATGAAATTTTAAAATTTACTGTTCTTTAACAATAAATAGTACTAAGAAGAACCTGTTTTTTGGTTGTTTCTGTTTCTTTGAGACAGGGCATGTCTTTTAGGGGGTGGTATTAAATTCATTTTGTAGCCCAGGTTGGCCTTGAACTTTAAATCCTCCTACCTCAGCCTCCCAGATACTGCCATTCCAGGCGCGTGCTACCACACCCTCCAAGAAGCTGCATTTTATAGCACTTCCTTCTCTATTAGTTCTCATTGTCTCTATGATGTGCACTCACTAATAATATAGGAACTGGGCTACAGCTGGAGAAAATAGGTAAGGTGCTGGGGATTTAGCCTGCAGCATAAGCACCTGCCTGGCAAGTGCGAGGTTATGAGTTCAATCCCCAGTACCACCAAAAAAAAAAAAAAAAAAGAGTTAAGGTTAGCCAATGTGGGGAACCACTTAGAAGACTCTCCTTAAAAGAACAACAATTATCTCCATTTTGTATTGATGTACACAGCTGGCTAAACCATTTCTTTAAGCAAGGTAAACCATGACTTTAAACCATGACTTTAAGCAAGGTAAATTGGGCTGGCAGAGATGCTGATGTGACAGTCGGTGTTTCCCTGCCCCATGACTCCCAGTAAAACATGGCTGAGCCAGGTGGGAAGGAGAGCTTATGTTCCATGCTGTTGGCTGGGGCTGAGCCTTGAGATAAGAGGCTATGACTTCCCAGGGTAAAAAAGATTGTATATCAGAGCTGAAGCATGAACCTCAAAATATTAGGTACCTCAGTTGTGTTACAGATTACTCTACATTTTTTTCCTTCCGCATATCACAGAGGTGACCTCAGGCCTCCTCCCTCGCCCAGCTCATAGCGCTCACATATTTCCTGCTATTATCACATCATCCCCAAGTCAATCTCCTCATGGAGAATAAAACCTGCCTTTTTTCTGATGAACCTCTTTTTTTTTTAAGACTAGTCAAGTGCAGTAGTGAGAAGGGGGTTAAGAGTAGAACAAGGAGTTCAATCTGTACTGACTGTGAACAATCAATTGAGATAACTCACTACCTTCGGACCAGCCTGAACCTCTGTCTTGACCAGGTTTAGGATCCCTTGGATCCCCATAGTTTTAACTATGCTTTAGTGTCTTTATTCTTACTGTGGGCTACATTGGAAGTGGTAGATTGGAATTAACTCGCTAGAATTCCAGTAAGTTTTCCATGGGATTACAAATGTAAACTTCCTGGACTGCGACAAGGACAGGAAAGGTCTCTCTATAAGCCAAACCCACATGGTATGAGTACATACTAAGGGTTAATTCAGAGCTAAGTTTTCAGTCTAAGTCTTTTTGTTTTACATATCTACCTATTCCTTTGTTTCCTGCTCCCATCCTGTGTAGCTCTCTTTGTCAAGAGCAGTGTTTGTTTCTCTTTTTACGAGCAGAATATATTTATCAGGGAGAGAACAGTATTTTTCTAAAGGACATGTACTTAATATTCTCCCTGTGCCTGCCAAATTGCTCATTCATCTATCTAAACAGCCCTTCCCTAGACAGCCCTGCCTAGACTGCTCATACCCTGACTCCATGTTTCTTTCCCTCTTTTTTTTTTTTTTGGTGGGGTGGTATGGGAGGTTGTGTGGGAGTGACAAGAGGATTGAACTCAGGGCCCTTGCACTGAACTTTTATTTTTGTTTTTCTTTTTTGAGACAGGGTCTTGCTATGTCACTAAATTACACAGGATGGGCTTCAACTTGTGATCTTTCTGCCTCAGACTTTCACTACTGGGATTACAGGTATGTGCCACTGTTCCTGGCTGCTTCTATTTTTCATTTCTTTCCTTTCCTTTTTTTTTTTTTTTTTTATATCAAGAATCAAACACAGGACTTCATGCTTGCCAGGTACTGTGCCACTGAGCTAAACCGTCAGCCCTGTTTATGGCTGTATCTCTCTTAATACTGATGTCAGATTGGGGAATTTAAATTGGATTCTAGGGGCTGAGCATATGAATTAGTGGTAGAAATCTATCCTTGCATGCACAAGGAGCTGGGTTCAATCCCTAGCACCACAAATAAGTAAGTAAATAAATAAATAAATTGGTTTCTGGGCCCTAGCAGGGTACCTAGTATCTGTCATCACACTGGGAGATTCTAGAGTATGGGGACCAAGTACTTTCTTTTCTGGATTTCCTTAGCCACGACAGCAGATCAAATTCTAGGGGACAGGACTGCTTTCCCATCCTCTTGCTTGCTCCTGTGAAAATAGAAGCCTCACCCTAGTGACAGTCTCTCAACTGACCGTGAGCAGCTTCAGTACGCCAATCTGTCCAGCATGCCGAAGGTGAGGCCCCTGGCAAAGGTCAATTGACGTGCTACACCTGGGGAGAGCAGAGGCCAGTCAGTGGTCTCTAGAAAAAACTGTTCTGAATGTTTCTCTCTCTCTCTCTCTTTTTTTTTTTTTTTTTTTTGAGACAAACTCTGGCTATATAGTGCAGGCTGGCTTGAACTTGCTTATGGAGCTCAGGATAGCCTTGAACTTGTGGTGATCTTCATACCTCAGCTTCCAAATGCTGAGATTACAGGCATGTGCCACCATACCTGGCCTCCTTTTCTTTCATGGTGTTTAGCTAACAAAGGAAGGAGGCAAAGGGGAAGGAACTATTCTAAGAAAGAGAACAATGCCACATAAAAATCAATTTTCATTTCTTTTTTCTGGAGCAACAGAGATTACTATCCACTTCTCTTCCCTTATGGCTTCCCTTATGGCAGACCTCTCTGCTGCTTCCCTGCTCTGCCCTCTTTTCTTCAGTATGACAGCTTACCCATACACTGTTGCTGTTGGGTTTGTCACTTTCTCCTCAATCAGACGAAGTTTAAAGGGATTATCCTGGAAGAAAAGTGGATAGCAAGAGGGGAACTAAGTCTTTATTCTTATAAAAATGTCCTGGTAAAGAGCTGGCCCTCGGGGCTGGGGATTTAGTTCAGCAGCATAAGCACCTGCCTTGCAAGCAGGCAGTCGTGAGTTTGATCCCTGTTACCAATAAAAAGGAAAAAGACAAAAAAAAAAAAAAAAAAAAGAGCTGCCCCTCCTTCAAAGCTCAGTCTTTTTCCTAAAACTGCACTATAACCCACCTTAAAGAGCTGGCGCAGCTGATCCTGGGAAGCCACCAGCCTGCGGAAGGGCTGTGCATCAGCTGCAATTCTCTGGCAAATTTGCTCCAAAATAGGTATCTCTGAGCCCTGAACTGTCCTGGAAAAAGCAGAGTTGTTGATTTACTTTTTCTAAGAAGCATTACTACGTGATACATCAGTTGGTTAAGAGGAGACTCTTTAGATTCCAAGAAAAATAACCTACAAGTATTGGCAAAGACTGATCAGGAAAACACGATTAGGAAATGAGGAAGAGATTTGTGTGTGTGTGTACTGCTGCAGATCAACCCTTTGGCTCTGCAAGGCTAGACAAGTATTTTAGCACTGAGCCATATCTCTAGCCTGAGGTATAGATTTTATAGCTGGAGGAAAACTATGCAAGAAGGTTTTTTTGTTGAGCCAGGGCTTCAGACTGGCCTTGAACACACTATGTAGCCCAGGCTGGCCTCAAATTCATAGCAATTCTCCTGCCTCAATTTCCCAAGTGCTGCAATTATAGTTTCCACTACCAAATCTGGGATATGTATGAAATTAAAAGCTGAGTGCAAGCAATCTAGATGGACAAATCAGAATAAGGATAACGAAGTAAGATTCGAAAATTTATGAAGAGTAAAGATAAATTGCAAGCAGAGTTGGAAGAGGGACATGACCTGATGGAGAAGTTGTACCAGTATCACAAATGAGGACTAAATAGCTTTCTCTTTAAATTAAACCTAGCTGAAGCCTCAGAAGTCTCAGAAACCACCCCAGCATGAAATCGCCTTATTACTGCTGTACTACTTACCGCTCCTTTCCCAGGAAGAAATCATGGTAAAAGCCATGTTCTATACTTAAACCTCGGCAGAGAACAGCACCCAAGAATTGTTCAGCTGCTGCTCCCAGGATATGAGCACTAGAGTTCCAGAACACCTGAATTCACAAGAAAAGTATCAATGTATAAACTCTGCCTTTAACTCCTAAATCTCTGATCTTTTCTTCAGACACTAGTAGGCAAACCATTGTAATTTTTCTAAGAATAATTACTATAAAATGGAGAAACTAGTCTTTGAGAAAGCTCACTAAATAGTTAAGAAAAAAAAATTGTAGACAACAGAAAAAGATGCAGAGGCCAGTATTTTTTCTGTTTCACTGAACAGAAGCTACAGCTACTCTCTTCAGTCTTTGGTGCTTCCCAATCCTGGAGCACAGAAGCAGGCCAAATAGTCTTCTTTTGCTGCTCCTGTAAATTAGGGTTTCAAGGTAGACTATCTTTTCTGTTTTACTTTTGTTCTTTTGGTGGTCCCAGGGAATGAACCTAGGACCTTGCACATTCTAGAAGGCACTTTTTCCCTGAGTATTGTCCCCAACCCTCTGTCTGGTCTTTTAGTTCTACTATTATCTAGCTCAGCTATCTAGTGTGATGCAACTACTCTTCTAGGATTTGGTCTTTATCCATACTCAGATCCATTTTACTGGATCCTAGTAGTCAAAGTCCGTGTTACCTGAGCTGACATGAAAAGGACAAGTAGGGAAGTGACCAGGCTGTGTGTTCAGTTGCAGCAGCCACATTTCAGCTGAATATACACCATAAATGACTTACAATGTAGGTGCTCAAGAGCTGAGGAAGTTGAACTGGTACATTATATATCTGTTTTTCAACTTATTATCACTCTCTTTCACTAGCACAAATGATCTATGCTTTTAAGATTACAGCTAAATAAAAACATCATAAATTTCTGTCTCAGCCAGAAATAAATGGTAGGTCTTGCTCCCAACTGCAAATGGAGAAACTGAGGGAAAAGAAATACTATACTAGAATTTCTTGCTTAAATACCTGTTAGTTTACTAGTCATGGTACTCTTTATGGAAGGAACTTACTGCTTTTCCTTCTGGGGAATCGAATGTCAGAAATCTGAGGTCAGAATCTGTCTCCAAGGGTCGCTCCAGGTCAAAAGGTTCTCCATTCACTTCAGCAGCCAGGGCAGTATCTGCCAGGGTTAAACTTCAGCAGTGGTGTAGGGATGAAGAAAATGGCAGGATTACAACCCATGGGAGAAGACAAGCTAATCTCTTGGTAACCCTAAATTTGTAAAGGGCAGATGAGCTTCCAGAACAGTAAAGTCTATTTCTTTGTCCAATAGATAACACAAGATTTAAAGACAGACTCTGAAACCAATGAAGATAAAACAAATTCTGCAGGAAAGCGATCTTGCTGGGGGTGAAAGAAAACAAGCTGACCAAATACTGCAGAGAACTAAGGGTAGGGTTGGATACCTCATCTGCCGGGCTAGTTGGTAAGGGGTTGTGCTCCATGCCACACCATTTACTTTCTGGCCTCCAGGAAGAGTCACTTTAATAGTCCGGGCTTCATTCTGTGCAGTGCTTGCTAGCCTCGTTGCCTGAGCAGCCCACAGCTCCTCAAAAAGGCCAAGCCGCTCCACCAACCATTGAGGAGGGGTCGCCACGGACGTCTGAGGGGAAAAATATGTTAGGCGTTAACACAGGTTTCATAATTTCTTTTAGGGGCTGAAGATGGTAGGAGTCGAGGATACTCAAGAGCCCTCAGCCCTAATCTCTGGTTCTTAACAAAGGGTGGGTAATACAGGTTTTGGAAGAGTAGTATCCTAATGGATACTACTTCCCTAAAGTTCTCTTTCCAGACAGATGGCCAACTGAGCACTAGGGTACCCCTGTCTGAGGACTTCAGAGTGTAGGGGAGGGGAGTAACGGCGAGTGGTTGGACTACGACTGCACCTCGGGCTTTGCTTGGGCTGGGTCCCATGGTTCGGAACTTTTGGGTACCTCACGCAAAGTATGTAGCTTGTAGGCTTGCAACCCCGGGAGCAGGGACCGGAGCCGGAGAGATCGCCACCTCTGAAACAGCCGCATATTTCTATGAACCAGCGCCTACACCCTCCGATTACCGCCGCCTCTTCACTAATATTCCTCATTGGCTTCTACCCCAGTAACATACGTGTCTATTGATTATCGTAGCTGCCACTCTGTTCTGGCACCACCTCCAGGAACTACGAAGAGGCACACCCCACCACAACAAGAATAGTGGCTGGAGTGGTTCCGGCGGCCGGAAGATGGGAACTGTGACACACGTCTGCGATCCGGAAACTCACCTCATCTCAATTGAAAGCCCGGAAGTAACACAAGGTGTCTGGCGGCCATGAAATCAGAGGCGCGAACCTCAGGACAACAGTGGGAGAAAAACAGACCGAAAATGGTAGTCAGTCATTTCCCTTTAACCAAAAACTTTCTTTTACCTCATCTTTAAAGCATGTAGGAACCTGTTAAGAACATAGACTTTGGAACCAGGCAGACCTAGTGTAAATCCTGGGTCTACCGTAAACTAGTACTTTTTGTAAAATTTTAAATTTCTCTAACTTTTCACTATAAAAGAGAATAGAAGTAGCTTTCCCATTAGTTGAGGTAAACTTTATGTAAATCATCTAGCATAATGCTTGGTAATGACAATAGCAACAGGCCATTATAATTGGGCTACAGTCTTAAAGTGGAAGCCACCATGGGGCATGGTGGCCCACGTCTGTAGTCTCAGCACTTGGGAAGCTGAGGCAGAAGGATCACTGTGAGTTCGAGGCCAGCCTGGGCTATACAGTAAGTTCAAGGCTGGCTTGCACTGCATTACAAGACCCTGTCTTAAGAAAATAAAAGTTGAACTGCGGAGTCTGCAGAGGTCAGTTTTCGGAGTTCATTCATATTAAAGTTCTTAGAGGACTTTAGAGATTAGTCTTACAGATATGGAAATTAAGGTCAGGAATGTTAAGTAATTTAATGTTAAAGAGTGTTGCCAGGGGTGTTGCACAGGCCTGTAATCCTAACACTCTGAAGACTGAGGCAGGAGAATCTTGAGTTTGAGGCCAGCCTGGGCTACATAGTGAGCCTCTGTCTCAAACAAAACAGAGAACAAAAAGAGTGCATGTTGGGGTTGGAGATTTAGCTCAGTGGCATAAGCGCCTGCCTTACAAGCAGGCAGTTGTGAGTTCCATCCCCGGTACCGATAAAAACAAGAAAGACCAAAAAAACAGTGCATGCTGATGCTGGCTTCTAAATCCAGGACTTGCATTATCCATCCTACCTTTTCTAGTACTATAATTTCCAGTATAAATTCCCCACCAGAAAAAAGGGTGCCTCACACTAGCTCTGTGCTCCCCACAAAAAGTATTTTACCTTTCATTTCTATTCCAGCTTTCAGTTTTTTCTTTTTCTCCCTGTTACATACAAGGATAATAATTGATTTTATAGCAAAAATACAACCACCACTAGATTTGTAGTAAAGTATGAAGGGAAATGAACTGAGGGCTACTGAGGCTCTCAGTAATTCCCAGTTAGTGCCCTCACCTCGGGGTAGGAATCCTTAGAGTTGGTTCTCAAGTTTCAGTGGTGATGGAATCAGGGTTGTGGAAGAACAGCTGTCAGAGAAAGCTGTTTAATTTAGGTTTTCCAGAGAGGCCAGAAGTTGTTTCTGAGGAGGGTAGTTGATCTGAGTCATAGGATCTTGGCTCCATCTCCTGGTATGTTAGACATCCTGAAATACAAAGAGAAAGACTGTGGAGAATATTACTTGTGTTTATGTATGTGGTCCGGAGAAAATAGTCAGAATTTGTAAATGATTTGAGAAACGGTGACAGTGGCAGGCAGGGCTTTGCTTGTGGCCCTGCACAAAAGGGGTAGGGGAAAGCTATATTGTAGGCAACAGACTGGTAGATGCTCAATAAATTATTGAATTATGTAGTGACTGTACTGACATCCCAAAGGACTCAGGCACAATTTATTTAATCATTCTATCTTAACCTTTTGTTAGGATCATAGATGGTGGAGTAAGTAGGCCAACCTGAAATGGAAGCTCCCGACACACACCCTTTAGACATTTACTGAATGCAACGCACTGAGCTGGGTGCTAACATAATACCGACTCATCAGCCACTTTACTACCTACGTAACTTGTGTTGCAGTGGAAGCAAGGAATGTCAAGTTATTCCATCCTTATAGCAAGCAAGAAGCACAAGCTAGCTAAGGCCAATTTAGAATTGGTTCTGCTACAATTTCAACCATGTCTCAGCCTCAGATTTTTTTTTTTTTTTTTTGAGACATGGTCTCATGCTGTAGTTCAGGCTGGTTTTGAACTCACTGTGCCGTCCAGGCACAATGTGGGCCACCAAACCTGGCTCAGCCTCAAAAATTTTAATTCAGTAATCTCTGCCTGGCAAACATCTCTGAAACTTTCATTGCCTACCCCACCATGTGCCACCTTTGCCTGCCAGAAAATGACTGAACACCTACTGTGTGACATGTTATGCTTTCATCAATTCTTAGAACTCAGCTCTATCAAATGGTATGCTTACCCTCCCCTTCAAGGAAAATGATTCTTAGAGAAGTTAAGTCTCGGGGCTGGGGATTTAGCTCAGCGGCATAAGCACCTGCCTTGCAAGCAGGGGGTCGTGAGTTTGATCCCCGGTACCGGTAAAAAGACAAAACAAAAACAAAACAGAACAAAAAAACCACAACAACTTAACGAGAAGTTAAGTCTCATCTATCCGGATCTAAAACCTCAGTTATTTATGCTATGACTCACTGGCCAGATTAGTCACAATGTACCTGCCATTATGGTACCATGACTTCCTTCTCCTTGACTCTGATACTTGTGCTTGGAAAGGCTTTTGAATACGGTGGTGAATCCAATAAAAACCAAGAAAATATCTCCTAACTTTTCTCTACCAGACTAAAAGGAAAAGTATGAAGGAAATAACACTGAAAGATTTCTACAAAAGTATAGGGAAAGGGGAACCTTAAGGATACCCTAGACATTCAGGCAAAGTTTAGGATAGTCTCGGCTTTACTGCACTTTTATTTTATGTACCAGGGATCAAACTCAACAACTGAGCACTTGCAAGGCAGGCACTTATGTCGCTGAGCTAAATCCCCAACCCAATGCACTTTTAGAATTCATATCTCAAGCTAAAGCCTTGATGATTTTTTTAAAAATAGGGTCTCTCTCTGTAGTACAAGCAGGCCTTAAACTCACTTATGTAGCCTAGGCTAATGTCAAAATCACAACAATCCTCCTGCCTCAGCCTCCCTGAGTACTGGGATTACAGGTGTTTACCACCATGCCCAGCTCATGAAACATTTTTTATAGCTTTAAGTTACATGTAAGAATACTCTCCAGGGGGCTGGGGACTTGGCTCAGCGGCATAAGTGCCTGCCTTGCAAGCAGGCAGTCGTGAGTTCGATCCCTGGTACCGATAAAAAGGAAAAAGACAAAAAAAGAAAAAAAAAAAAAGTACAAAGAATACTCTCCAGGCCGAGTGTTTAGCTCAGTGGCGTAAGTGCCTACCTGGCAAATGCAAAGTCATGAGTTTGATCCCCGGTACAAAAAACAAAAAACAAAAAACCAACCAAACAAACAAACAAAAAACCTTTCTAATAGTGCTGGTTCTGTTAAGACCATAGCAAATCAAAAAAAAAAAAAAAAAAAAAAGATTTGCAGCTGGGGATTTAGTTCAGCAGCATGATTGCCTGTATGGCAAGTGCTAAGTCGTGAGTTTGATCCCTGGTACAAAAAGAAAAAAAAATTGTTCAGAAGAAAAAAACAGTCTCCACTGAAGGAAAATTACATTTTCCATTTACTGGGATGAACACATACCTCCAAATCTATCTTAATTCTTTGGCACAACTGTCCCTTACCTACATGAAAAAGGAAGACTGGAGGGAGAGAAAGAGAAATGAGATAAAATACATTTATGTCATTGCTACCAAATGCTTTTCCCCTGGTGCTGCAGTGGGAGCCCAGGGCCTCATACCTGGCAGGGATGTGCTCTGCTATTGAGCTATACTGTTTCCACCAAATTCTTTTGAAGCCTAAAGAATTAGCCATGTAGCCAAAGGGACAGGAGGTATACCAATATTAGGTTTATGAAAAATTCCTGGGGGCTGGGGATTTAGCTCAGCAGCATAAGCACCTGCCTGGCAAGCGTGAGGTCATGAGTTCAATCCCCAATACAAAAAAAAGAAAAAAACAAATTCCTTAGTAATATAACTGGAAGGTCTGGGATGCAGCCAAGCTTTAAATTCTGCTTTACGATGCCTCAATACCAGAAAGCCTGGCCAAATCTGTTAATACAGAGGGATGAACTTCCTGCCAGAGACATGGGGATAAACTGAACTTTGGTTTTAAAGACAAAGCCTTGGGCCCTCCTGAAATCTCCATTAACATTTCCTTTCCCCAAGAAATCTCTTGAGTCCTTAGCAGAGAAAAAGACACCCTCTGAACTCCTTGTTGTACTTTCCCCCCTTCTCACTACTGCACTTGACTAGTCTTAAAAAAAGACACAAATTACTTGGCAAAGGGCTGGAGTATTTTTCAAAAATAAGGGGCTACAATAGGGATAAGGAAGTAAATTTGCTGGAAAATGTACTATGGTCCTGAACAGGTCCAGGGCAGATTGCTTTGGCCAACGCCATTATGAGTCAAATACACACCCCAAAATGCTGTCTGCTCCAAGCTGGCACTGCAAAACTCACCAGCCCCTCCATCTTGTAACTGTAACCTCAACCCTGACTTTGCCTGAGAACACAGGGAGACTAACACGTATAAAAAAACACATATAAAAAATGGAAGTGCTGGAGACACAGCTCAGTGGTAAAGTGCTTAGCATGTACCAAGGCTTAAGCCCCAGCAACACACAACAGTCACCGTAAAGTAACTGTAATGATGAATCTCTAAATAGACCTCAATGACCTTATGTTTCCCCTCAAGCTCCTAATTAAACATCTTCTCTCATCACTCAGCACTGAAGTAACTTAAGTATTTTTATACCATACAAGCTTCTTTCCTTAAAGAATGTTGGGGCCACGGGTATAGCTCAGTGGTACAGCCCCTGCCTGCTAAGCACAAGGTCCCCAGTTTGATTCCTCATACCAAAAAAAAAAGTTTCTCTTCTACACTGGGAAAGAACAGGATGTTTACCTAAGTGGATCTCTCTTTAACAGTGGCCTTGTCTACACAGACTCAATGAGTTATTACTCAACAGTAACGAACAGCAGCTGATCAGACTTGTCTGTTTACTCATCAACAAGTATGAAGAGCACCCTAACACTCCAAGAGCCAGCCTGACTATAGAAGTAAATATGTAACTAAGGTCCACTTCTCAACTTTAAGAGTACCCCAATATTTCAAGATCCACCAGCCTTGTTAGATCTATACACAAGAGGTAACTCATTTCTGTTCAAACAATTTAGGGGGAGGAAACTATGCGTATTCAATAACATGCCCAGAAAGGCCAGTGAGGGTCTAGACGCTGTTGCTTAGTGGCAGAGCTCGAATCAGCTGGATAGATAAGTTGAGGTCCCAAGAGGTAAGGAAGACAGCACAAGCTAGATTCCAGAAGCAGCCAATATACTGGTACACCCTACCTGCTGGGTGTGGCCCTAGGCTGCTACTACCGAAGCGTTTTATGACACATATACATGTACCTTTATGTAATCAAGGCTATTTAGTGCCTTCTACCCTGCCAGTGACCCAGGCCTGGCCCAGATGCAGTGACTGTCTCTCTTTCCCTTAAAGCCAACATTCCATGTATTGAGCTTCATTAATTATGAAAGCACATGAGATGAAGTAGGAGAGAAGGGTTACATATGGCTTCCTCACAGCACACTGCCTAGATGCAAGAAGGGTAGACGTGGGGAAAGAATCGGCCTACCACACCTTCCCCTAATTCTGTGCTTGCTTTAAAAAATGCTTCTTGGCTCACAATTGTACACCTTTTTTTATCGGTACCAGGGATCAAACTCACGACTGCCAGTTTACAAGGCAGGCGCTTATGCCGCTGAGCTAAATCCCCAGCCCCACAATTGTACACCTTTTAAGATACAAATAATTATCTATACAGTATGCTCCATTTCTTCACCTACCACTCTCTGAACATCTTGGTCTTACCCCACCCATTACACAATTATACAAAGGATCAAATAGGAAAACACACAAGGCCATGAAGATCCTACAGGCTCAGACAGCTTTATGATATTAATTGCAAAAGTCAAAAGTGGCCAGCTGTACAAGATCAACGTGAGAGGGTTAAGAGTCAACCACACAACAAAGAAAACCATATTTTATTAAACTGGAAAACAAAATATTAGGGACAAAGTTAAAAAAAAAAAAAAAAGAAATGGCTGGAAAAGAGTAAAGTGCAAGTGGTCCCGAGGAAGGGACAAGATAGGTGGTTGGTGGCATCTATGTGTGTGCCACTCTCACCTACTTCCCCATATACATTTAAACCAATAGGCAGTACAACTGCATCTTCAGAGACAGATCCAGGCTTTTCTCTTTGCATTCTTTAGCTGGTTTCGCCTTCAGCTCTGGACAGTCATGTTGGATGTTTGCTGGAGAAAAGTTAGGTTTTCCAACCAAGGTCTCATTACAAAGCAGCAGTTTCAGCTTCTGGAGAAGTTCCCTCCTGTTTGCATTCACCAGTGAGGCCAAGGGCCCTTGGTCCAAGCCCCAATCTCAAAGAAAAATGTCAAACCTTTAGAACTACTTATTTTTATTAAATGATATTAACACACAATTCAAAAGGCTTTCATTGTTGTTGCCTCTAAAGCATGTACTTGTCTTGTTTTCCACACCGAACACATGAAAATATCAACCCAATGTATCTAATTTTACTCTTAACAGGCACCCGCATCAGTTAAAAAAGAGGGAGGGAGAAGGAGGAAAGCAGTAATTTACAGCGGCTTAAGAGTAACAGCTAAAGCTTTACTGCATGAACAGGTAACTTCAAGATTGTGAATACTCTGCAATTAGAAAGTTTAGCTAATTCACATTATCTAGATAGGTTTGTTGTACCATGTGTTATTACAAAGTGTGTTCCTGATACTGGAAAGAGTAAAAGTCCTACTCTCTGCTCACCTCCCTCCAATTAAACCATATTCTGTTCACCTCAACTCTTGGGAAGGCAGAGGAGTAGGTAGGGCTTTCATTTAAACTGGCTGAACAATGAACTCTTATAAAATACTTAAGGGCCCTATTCCTGATACTGTATAACTAAACTTTAAATGATACTAGTGTGTTCACTAAAATTCTTTGTCTGTGATTTTACAATGAGCACCAAAGACCTTAGCAACAACTTATATTCTGCTTCCATATGAATCCATGCCCTTGCTAAGACACACTATGTTATGCTTTCTTTAAAAAATATGTTGTTTATTTTTTTTTGAACTCAGGTGAAATACAAGTCAGAGCAGGGTCACAGAGTTTTAAATCACAGACACAGAAAGAATAAAACCTCCTCGTTTCATGTTTATGAATACCAGAATTGTCTTTTCATTATATCACATATATACACTGTCATTTTAATTTGCTGCTTGTAGATAGATTTTCATAAAATTAGTAACTGACAGTCTCATACAAATCCTTCCATCCTGAAACAAATGCACTGCGTATTTTGTGGCAAAAACAAAACAAAAATATTCCACAAAAACAAGTTCACGTTTGAACTGTACAACGTCTTTCATGTGTCAGGCATCATGTTTTTGGGGACAGTCACCCTGCCCCTTTATTCAGGAAGCCACTTTGCTGACATCTCAACATTTCTGATAAAATCAAAAGGTCAGAGAGCCTTTTCAAGTAAACACTAGATTTAGCTTAAACAAGAACAGCAGAAAGAATTCACATTCCTGTATTTGAGAATGAAAAAATCCCACTTCATTTTTTGAAAAAAAAATCAATTCTGAAAGTCAAGTATAATCCCCCCATTCTTTCTTTCTCTCCTTTTCACTGTCTCAGGACCCAATGTATATTTCCTTTGCTTTGCTATACTATATGTCCCATTCCACACGGAAGGTCATAATATCATGCATTTTTGTGGGGACAGCTACAGGACAAAAGCTTGAGAGGGTCAAAGAAACAAAGAACAGCTGTTTAAGGCCAGATAAGCATTAGGAAGATGAATGGCCTGACTCATAATGATCACAGAACACAGGGTGAGCCCAAATAAATATACCAAATATGCTACAGAAAACTTCCAAACCAGAATGTATACCTGGCTTAAGCTGCTTTCTCTGAAAACCAAGTTTATTCTAAGACAAAGAGGTCTTGTAACATTATCCAGCCTCTCCCATCTTTAAAATTCCATTTCCACATTTCCCTAGTTAATTCTACACTAAGATGGGGAAAGTACATGAACTTGTTAGGATGTTTTACTCATCTAGCTGGAGATTTATAATTTGTGGGATGAAAACACTGAATTTTTAAAAATGCAGTAAGTAGTTATTTGCTTTTCAGTGTCCCTAGACTCAAAAATATAAACAAAGTTTAGTGTTTGTCTTTTCCCAAGTACTAGATGTAGAAATATAAACAAACCTTTTAAAGTCCAAGGAGAAGGAAAGCACTTCTCTCTCATGTAAAATGACGAAGGGCAGAAACATTCTTTACTTCCTGTTGGGGGTAGGGCTAAATTACTCCCTTGAAATATGACAGGCTGCTTGTTATCTGTGGAGTGCGGTCAATCTGGATTTAAATGTTTCCTTGTTTCTCTGTAAATACATGAATAGCAATGCCCACCCGTTTCTAAGACACATCTAAAGAGGTACACTATAAAAATACTAAGTCTCCTCTGAAATACCAAAAATAGGAGTGTAATCAGGACTGAGGAAAGGGGAAAAGAATGATGAAGACAAATGTTTTCCTTCCTCTAGTGTTAATCCTTACTGAAAATCACTAATAAATGTTACATTAGGGAGGCACCATAGTAACATTAATGTCTATTTCTTTTACTAAAAGATATAGGGATCTCAGTTGAACCTTTCTATCAATGGTCAACTATAGTGACTTTCTAACCAAAAGAAAAGTAAAAACTGAGGAGAAAAAGAAAATCTAGGAAAAAAAAGCAGGAGGCAAGAGCATGACACAAGATTTGTGGAAAATTATTTCAAAACATGTCCTGTTTTCTTGTTTACAAAGGATAGTCAGGTTACACCACAATATCAACAGTTTTTATCCTAGTTTTTTTATAATTACACTTGATCCTTATTTTCACCTTGAATTTATATATAGCCTCCTCTCTTTCACTCCAAGGACAAAGAAAATTTCTACTGAAAATGCCTCAAAGTTATTGCCAGATAGTCTATGGAGGAAGAGGCTGACTTAAAAAACATTAAGATGTTAGGTGAAGGGTAAGGAACTTCAATATGCCTTTAAAAAAAAGCCAAAACAAGCAGGCCTGACAGACCCAAGGTCTCCCATGCTTCCCACCTCTTGGCTGTCAGCAGTGCAGAGCACAGGGGAGGGAGCCACCCTGGTTACAGCGATCACCAAGCTTGAGAGGGCAGGACACAGAAACCTTCCATTGACTACTGGTTAGGGAAGCCCAAAATAACACCCCAACATTGCACATGGTATCATCTGTACTGATGGAAGTTTTATTTCAAATGTAGTAAAGTCTTCAATAGATGGGGATAAAATATTGTTTTTCTTCTCCATTCCCCAACCCCCCAGCCAAATGAAGTGACTCTAGTTGGGGTTTTTTTTCTTCCCCTCAAATACAATCAACCTGGGGAAGGCAGTAAGTGAGGTGGGAGGAAGGATTTGATGGAATAGTGAAATGGAGGCATGTATAACCTCAATTTGGAAGGCAGGCCCTTACCATAATAAAAAATAAAGCAAGGGAGGGAAAACAACAACAACAACAACAACAACAAACCAAACTCCTACTTCCCAGGCTCTCTAGACTGCTCCAAATGCTTTTCCCTTGGTTTCCATCAGTACCTGGGAGGGAAGAATGGGCGTTTTGGTGCAAAGAACGGAGGGCCCCTAGCAAAAGGTGGCCTGGGTCTCTTTAAACTGTGGAATGGGTCTCTGCTGAGAAAAGGTTCCCTGGGGCGAAAGTCTGGCCAGGGACTCCGTAAAATCATACCACTCCGGTTGATCGTGTCTCTGTGTGAGGGACCCAAGGGGGGGCCACTGCTGCTGCTGCCCCCCCCACCTCCTCCACCAAGGGCTGGGCCCAGGTGCTCCAGAGGATGGGAGGGTAGGCTCAAGCTTTCCCGCACACGGCTAAGGCCAGGGCTGTTGAGGTCCCGTTGAGGGGGTGCCCCGTGATCCCTGGGTCCTGCGAGTACGCCAAAATGCTCAGCCAAGGTCCCTTGAAGAAGGGAACTATGGTCCTTGGGAAATACTGCCACAGCCCCATGCTCTGCCAGTGGTGGGGTTGGGAAGGGTACGACCCCAGAGTGGTCAACAGGGGGTGGAGGAGGTGGTGGAGTAGCAAAGGGGACACCACTCCCACCACTGCTATGTTCCCCAGGGGGTGGAGGAGGGGGTGGGGCAGGGAAAGGAACTCCACTGTGCTCTCCAGGAGGAGGCGGTGGGGCAGCATGGGCCAAGGCTGCCTCTTTTGTGAAAGGGTTCGAAAGATCCACAGAGGGCAGATGAGCAGGTGCATCTCGAGAGAAGATACCACCGTGATCCTTAGGAGGGGCAGGTGGGGCAGACGATGGCCCCACTGGCTCTCTCTGGAAGGGTGTCCCATGTTCCAAGGGGGCTGGGGGGAGATGGTGCTCAAATGTTGAGTTGAAGCTGTTGGAACGAAAGCTGCTGACACTCTCCTGAAACTGGGATGCCCGTTCCTTGTAGGGTGTTTTAAAGCCAGTGAGTCCTCCGGTGCCCCCACCCCCAAGGGTTGCCAACTCAGAGGCACTTGAGGGACCATTGTCGAAAGAGCTGCCTGATGTGCTCAGATCAAACCAACCCACCCTTGAAGCCTCACGCCCATGTCCTCTATTTCCCTTCCCAGGAACTCGGATGGACTCTACGGTCTGTATTGGCTCCCCTGACATCCTCCTATTGGCTGCGTTATGATAACCCAAAGTTTCTATGGGGGCCCCCTTTTCTTCGGTGCTATCGGGCAAGTCTAAGCAGGAAGAGGAGACGCGGGTTTCTATGCGGTAGTGCTCTTCTTGCTGCTGCTGATCAGAGGTGGGAAGGCTGGGCTGGGCGAGATTTGACAGACTGACACCATCACTTGAAGTGCCCTTGTTTGGGGTTTGGCCAAAATGCTTATCATCTGAGGGCTTTCGAGAGGCGTTTTTAAGCATATTCTTAAACTCAATCGTCGATGTGGTGGAAATGGTGGAGGACAGGACTTTTTCCACGCCTGATGTGGGTGGGTGGCCCGTGGGAGCAGCAAGGGTATTCTGCGGAGAGAAAAGGGAACGATGTGGGACTGGGTGAGGAGAGTCTGGGTACTGCTGTGGCAAACTGAGATGCCCAGTGGCAGACTGAGATAAGCTATTGTGGTTGGAGTCAGGGGCAAAAAATGAATCATTCTTACTCGGTGATGGTGACCGGTCAGACCCAGCTTCATTCCCTCTTATGCTGAAGGTACCAAATAGCCCAGGGGAAGATGAGAGACGGTCACAGTTCTCATTAGAGTCCAGGAGGGCCCTTACCGATGGAGGGAAAGCAGACTTTACTCCAAACTCTTGGGCCCTGTGGCTATAATTGGACAGGATTGGCTGGTACTCGGTGGCATCAGAAAGCTTGCTTGACTTCAGGATAGATTTGGCTGGTTTCTTCTCTAGGTTCATCATAGCAGAGGGTGGAGGCCCTGAATACTCAAAATCTCGATAGTCCTCATCTTCTTGGAAAGAAGTATCTGGATAGAACTTTTCCTGTGAAGAGTCCATCAGAGAAGATGGTCTCTCCACTCCATCAGAAGGCTGCTTATAGGGAGATTCACTGCCCAGGCCAAAGGGTCGATATGTAGATACAGAATTGGAGAGCTCCTGAGGGTAGCTTTCATCTCTCCCAGGGGGTGGAGATCTTGTACTGCTGGGTGTTGAGGAACCAGGGCTAATGATCTTAGAAAGCAGGGACATAGTATCTACACTGCTGGATGTGGGCTTGTCCATCATCTCATCCTGGGTGGGAGTCCCACTCCGTTCATCCCGTACAGGGGTTCCATCAGTGTTGTCGATTGAGGTGCTAGTAGGGCCACGCTGGAAGTCTGAGGGGTGGCTCTCTGACGGGGCACTGGATCCCAAACTGCTCAGGATTGGGATGTTTAAATTTAAGCCACTGAAACCAGGATTACCTTTTAAGAAGTTGTGGATCTTCATTTCCAGACTTGGGGAGGTGGACTCTGACTCCAGCTTTGGCTTGGAGCTCTCTGAAGATTGGCACATGGCAACTTCAGTAGGTGGGGCTGCAGAGCTAGTATTGTGGGTGCCAGAAAACCCTAGTGAGCTGGATGGTAGTTTAAAAGTAGTGCTTGGAAGCCCTGGGCTTTGCCCCATTGATGCCTTGATGGCTGACGTTGAAGAGACTTCAGAAGCTGATGAATTGGGAGAATAGTTGAAACTTTTGGGAATAAAAGATTGGGTACTGGAGGGCACATTTCTTGCTTTTAGAGTAGAGACTGTGGTGTTGGCAGGGGAGGCTGAAGTATTCTGGGATGTAGCTTCACTGGCTGGAGCTGGGTTCCCAGTAACACTCTGTAGTAAAGATGACAGGCCTATAGAAACAAAGATTAGAGGGGTTAAAAAGAACTCTCTACCGTATGATAAAAACAATGTGGGCTTATTAGTTATTCGAATTCATTCTGGTGGGAACCAGATAGTCTTTAAAATACAAAGCCAAAGGGAATCCAGACCAAACAAGCTATGGCTAAATGTCACTGAAAACATTGGACTTATTTATCAATCAGAGAACAAATCACTGAAATGTTTCCATTTCAAGCTAGAAACATGTCCAGCACTACACAATAAAAAGCAACAGGAAGGGAGAGATTTTAATGTCAGAATCAGTTTAAGGCAAAGCAGGAAAAGAAAAGGAACAAAGTTAATTTTAAAACAACAATGTAAGCCAGTATTTCTTAATGTTTGATCTCCGGAAATGCTTTTTCACATGCAAATGGATACCCTGCCCTATCTTTCCTGTCCAGCTTCTACAACTGACTCTAAGTAAATGCCCACTGTTATTCTCATCAAGGAGAAAAACATCAAAATTTTTCACTACACTGGTGTTATCATTAGGGAAACAATGCTTGCAATCATCTATTTTATTTGTGAAATGCAGCAATAATAAACATACACCACCACAAAGACAACAGCAGACCAATAGTGGCACTGATCCTTTCACAACACATAATTTCCATCTTATAGCTTGAAGATCTAAGAATTGTTCATAGGTTAAAGCTAACACAAATGAGATTCAACCATATTCACTGATGGACAAAACCTCATAAGGACAGAAAAAAATTCTTTGGGGCAAAGGCTGAAATTCACCAAGGCAAAGTGTCTCAAAAATGTTTTAAAAAACATTTGACAGAAGTAACAGAAGATCTTATCTATTTTGCAAAATTTATCCAATTTTTGGTCACTTATGAACAGTACAAATTTGTTTGTACTGTTCAACTGGGTGTGGTGGTACTTTGCAATTCTCTTGGTTTGGCCTCCCAAGGAGCTGGGATTACAGGTGTGTATCATCACACCTGGCTCAGATGTGAAGAATTTTAAGATTACATCACCCTTGTAATGTTTTTAAACCATTTACTTTTAAGTAAGGCTCCCTGGTATTTGTTTTGTTTTTGAGACAGGGTCATGCTATGTACTGTAGGCTGCCTTGAAATCACTATGTAGCAGGGCTGGCCTAGAACTTGCAGCAATAACCCTGCCTCAGCCTCTGGAGTGCTGCGATTACACAGGTGAGCCATCACACCCAGTGTGAGGCTGTCTGAGTTTAACTGTTATCCAATCACCTAATATGATGTTTAATAATGTCCAAAATTTGAATATGAACTTCAGTTATCTTTCTTTTTTTAAAAAAAAAGCATAGTTCATTCCAAAGTTTTCCAGTTATGCAATTTCCCATCCTGTTTAATTCTTAGTAGTCTTTATTCTCACCAAACCTAGTTCTCAAGCACAAGAATGTGATAAAATGTCTTTTTTTTTTTTTTTTTTTTTTTGGAGGCAGGGTCTTGCTATGTTGCCAGGATGCCTCAAACTTGTAAGCCTCCAAGGGAGCTATATCCTAGCATTCTTATTTTTTAATATTGACAGAGAATTTTACTAAATTGCCTGACTGGGCTGGCCTTGAACTTGTGATACTCTTGCCTCAGCTGGGGCTATAGGTGTAAATTGCAGTACCTGAGTTCCTTCTGTTTGATGTTTATAATTCTCTAAATGCCAGGTTATACAATAATAATAAAATGGGAACAAAGTTTATAAATAAGACGGGAAGAAGAACAGAAGGGATGGTAGGGGAATGGGGGAAAAAAGTTATGTAAATGTACAAATTCTTTATGATAAGGCTGGTCATTACATATATCTAAAATGTACCAATAAAACCTGATTAGAAAAGAAAAAAAAAGATGTATCACATATAGGCACAAATGCCCTATGTGATCATTAGTTATATCTAAATTGTACCAATAAACTTAATGAAAAAATAAATTCCAGGTTATAGATGATAAATATACGGATAATGCTGAATTAACTACATTATACATTTCATGGTTTTGCCTTCCTCAGAAATGGAATCCAGGATCAAATCAGAGATAAACATTCACCATTCAAGTCCCTCTGGTATATTTCTGTTTACCTTGCAGTGCAGGGGCTGACTGTGTCTGAGTTTTGGAAAGAGCAGACAGAATGCTCTCAGGGGTGATTTCCACCTTTGAGAGGATGTTTGCCAGAGGGTTGTGAGGTGTGGCTGTGGCAGGTGCAGGTGTTTTCAGGCCACTGGTGAGGTTGCTGGGGCTGGTGGGAGTTCCCGGAGAGGGTCTTGATGCAGGACTGACCCCTAGTGGCAGAAAGATGAACTCAAAATAATGTAATTTCAAAACGACTTTTCATTCACTTTCGCTGTACTGGGGACTGAATTCAAGGCGTCACACATGCTAGGTAAGTGCTCTACCTCTGAGGTATATCCTCAGATCTCCATTTACTTTCTTCTGTGACTGATCCACAAATGATCCATATCATGGTATGAACAAAAATCTAAAAATTAGATTAAAACTGCCTTGAGTTATTTTCATATATATTCATTATTTTTGAAAACCTCTGTAAGAAGAGAACAGCCCATCTACTTTTTTTTTCCCCTGCCAAATGATACCTACACTTCAGAGCCCAGCAGTGTTCCAGAAACACTGCAACTGCAGGACTGTCATGACACATTTCTGTGTGATTGCTAGGTGATTTGCTTTTGAACAGGCTAAGTGATTTGCTTTTTAAAATGAAATTACAGACATAACTTCCTTTATATTTTTCCTTTTTTTTTTTTGTTACCAGAAATCAAACTCAGGACCTTGCATTTGCCAGGCAGGTGCCTATGTGGCTGAACTATATATCCCTGGCCTCCATATTTTTTTTGGTCTTTTTCCTTTTTATCAGTACCGGGGATCGAACTCACGACTGCCTGCTTTCAAGGCAGGCACTTATGCCCCTGAGCTAAATCCCCAGCCCCTCTCCATTTTTTTTTTTTTCTTTTTTATTGGTACCAGGGATTGAACTCACGACTGCCTGCTTGCAAGGCAGGCGCTTATGCCGCTGAGCTGAATCTCCAGCCCCTCCATATTTTTTTTTAAACACTGGGTTGATTTTTGATTTAGCAACAAACTGTATAGGAGAAAAACAAATTGTTTCCCCTTATTAAAAATACTACTTTTTAAAGGAAATGATAAAAACTATAAATATGTAAATGATAAGCAAATGAAAAAATTCTACCACCTTTAATTAATTTAAGAATACATATCAAAACAAACAACCTTTATATTTTGGGGCAGTGTTGTAATACATATTAGGCTACAGTCCCAGGCCTTTTTTATATTTTGAAGTAAGGTCACTTAAGTTGTTCAGGCAGGGCTCTAACTTGTCATTCTCCTGTCTTGGCTGCCCAGAGGTTTGGGATTAGAGATGTACACCACAGAGCCTGGTTATAAACATTTTAAAAGTTACTGTAGATTAAACAAAGCAAATAGTGGAGAGGGTAAAAAACAATGGGAACATTTATATAGACAGGTACACAAAATAGTACCTTCTTATATCAACTTAGTTATAACATATGGAAAGATATTAAAAATCTACATGCTGATTTTGAGTCTCTATGGTTTAGAAATACTTTTTTTTTTGGTCTTTTGAGACAGGCTCTCTCTATGCAGTTCAGGCTGGCCTTGAGCTCACTTTGTAGCCCAGGCTGGTCTTGAACTCACAACAATCCTCCTGCCTCAGCCTCCTGAGTGCTGGGATTACAGGCGTGAGCCACCACGCCCAGCCCAGAAATACATACTTTTAAGTATTTAAGATGAAATACCTGGAATTTTCTTTAGAATAATCCAGGGTGAGCAAGGAATACAGAAAATGAGATCTGTCATAGCTATCCTGCAGCAGCTGAGTGATAAACACATGGGGGTGCTCTACTTCTCACTATATAGTTCAGGCTGGCTTCAATTCATAGTGACCCTCCTGCCTCAGACTGCTGAGTGCTAGGATTATAAACATGCACCAGCAGGCCCAGCATCAGTTAGCCATGTTTTTTAAAATCAGAATTTTTCCATTAAAAAACTCTAGGGGCCAGGGATGTAGCTCAGTGTATAGCATCTGCATGACAAGCTCAAGGACCTGCGTTTGATTTCTGATATCAAAAAAGAAAAAATTTTAAAATCTAGGCCTGCAGATGTAGCTCCATAGTAGAGCACATGTTTAGCATGTATGAGGCCCTAGGCTAGAACCTTAACAATATCACCAACACCACCAAAATCCAAAACAAAAACTAAACCAAACCAAACAACCAAAAAACCCCCCACCCCAAAACAAATTTAAAAACTCCCTATATACGTATCAAGTCTTTTAGCAAGTGTTGTTAATAAAATTTTAGTGCTGGGTTGTGCATTACATATTCTCTATAATAGTAAAAAGCTAAAAGCATAATAAATGCCTCATAAAGAATTAAGTGAATTATTGAATGCTATACAACTATTCAAGATGATGTAGATGAATATTTAATGATATATTACTTCACGTTATATAGCTAGCAATAAACAGTATTATACAATGTTTTGACTATTAAAAGAAAAATTATGAATAATCCTCCAAACTCATATACACATATCCTTGGTAAAGATAAACATAAGTGGTATCCTTTGGTTCAGAATGATTACAGACATTTTATTTTCTTTGCTGATTTTCTAATTTTTCTGTAATGACCATATATTGATTTAATCTTGTCCATTATGTGTCTATGTGTGTAATGAACCGAAGATATTAGTACTGAGCTATATTCCCTTGTTCTTTCTTCTCTCTTTGTTTTTTTGAGAAAAGGTCTTGCTGTGTAGTTTAGGCTGGCCTTGAACTCATTACATAGCCCAGGATGGCCCTGAACTGGCAGTCCTCCTGCCTCAGGCTCCCAAGTGCTGAATTGCGGGCATGCACCACCATGTCTAGCTCCTTCTGTGACAGGGTCTTACTAAGTCACTAAATTGCTCAATCTGGGTTCAAGCTTGAGATTCTCTTGCTTCAGCCTCTCAGAGTACTAGGATCACAAACCATTTACCACCATCCTAGCCTGTTACATTTTAAAGTAAGAGTTCTAAAAGCTGAATATGAAAAAAAAAAAACCCTGATGATTTAACTTAAAAATGATGAAAATCAGTCTTTTACCCCTCTTCACTGGACTTACCAGTATTTTTCATGACTGAAGTCAGGCTGCTAAGAATGGAACTGATCTTTGCTAGATCCACATTAGCCAGGTTTGGCAATGCCAAAGCTGGGGAAGGGGACAGAAGAGACGTATTCACAGGCTTTGGAAGAGGTGAGGTTGCTGTCATGGTCACAGGCACAGGAGCACACGAAGAGGCCTTTGAGATACTTTCCGTTGGCTTTGTAGGTACAGAAGTGGAGATCGCTGTCTTCTCTACAGGTTTATCCTTCCTGTCTTCCACTGTTTCAAACAAGAAAAGACATGACATGACACCCTACTGCCTTCCAGACTTTGCTTCCAATACAAAACAGTGTGTCCTAATATTTCTTGATTTAAGGGTAAGAAGCACTATATTGAAGAGAAACAATCACTCATTTTATACCCTATTTGTTTGCTTGTCTATTTAGTAGCACTGGGGGTTGAACTAGGGGCCTTCACACTGAGCTACATCCTAGTCTTTTTACTTTGAGACATGGTCTTGCTAAATTATTAAGCTGCCCAGGATGGCATCAAACTTGCAATCCTCTTGTTTCACCTTCCCATAGTGTGGGGATTATAGGCAGTCTCTCTACCACCTCCTACCTAGCTGAAGTTTTATGTTTTGTTTTGTTCCTGAAATCATAGTCTTCATAATTTACCATCATTCCATGCTTAGTATCTACTTAAAATGAATTTCTCAATCATCCTGTATTTTACTTTTTTTTTTTGGTCTTTTTGAGACAGGGTCTCTCTGTGCAGTTCAGGCTGGCCTTGGGCTCACTTTATAGCCTAGGCTGGTCTCGAACTCTAAATGATCCTCCTGCCTCAGCCCTCAAGTGCTGGGATTACAAACTTGAGCTACATTGCTGGTTTGTATTTTACTTTTTTTTTTTTTTTTTTGGCTTTTTCCTTTTTATCGGTACCGAGGATCGAACTCACGACTGCCTGCTTATAAGGCAGGCGCTTATGCCGCTGAGCCAAATCTCCAGCCCCCTGTATTTTACTTTGTAATGCTTCATTTGCATCTTCTTAGTATTCATGAATTAGATATGTACATTTCTGTCACAGGAGGGAGAGGGACCAGAAGACAAAGATGCTGGGGTAAAGGGAGGAAAATGACAAGACAAATAATAAAAAATAAAAGAATGCTGCTGCAGCAACAGTACCAAATATATGTATATATTTTTTGTACCAGGGATCAAACTCATGACCTCATGCTTTCCAGGCAGATGCTTACATCACTGAACTATATCCCCAGCCCCATGAGATAAAATTTCAAAGTGCATTCTCAGAAACTTATCATTATAACATGGTACATATTTGTGTTATATTTTGGGAATGACATTTGTTATAAATTGTTCACTTTTCCACTGACTTGAAAACTTTCTAACAAAAACTGTGCATAATTTATTGTATTTTCTTCTGTCTCCCTGAAATTGCTCTACTGAGGTCCAATTAGGGTCTGACTAACCTGAAGCTCCACTGTTTTCACTTCTGATAACTTTAATGCTTTAAAGGGTGCATGGTAAATGCATGAATTTGAGAAGTAAAATAAAAAGAAAAGCTGGCAATTTCAGAGAAATGATTCACCAGTGGAATAATTCTACAAGTTCATTTAATAAACTATAGCTTTGGATTGTGGTTTGCACATGTGCATATTTTTATCCAGTACTGGGGACTGAATTAAGGGGATTGGTGAGCTATATATCTCCAGGCCTTTAAAAAACTTTTTTGTTTGTTTTTGGTACCAGGGATTGAACTCACAACCTTGAGCTTGCCAGGCAGGTGCTTATGCCACTGGGCTAAATCCCCAGCTCTTAAAAAAGTTTTTTGGTACTAGGGATTGAACTCATGATCTCACGCTTGCCAGGCAAGTGCTTGCACCACTGAGCTAAATCCTCAGCCCCAAAAAACTTTAAAAAAATTTTTTTTATTCTGAGGGCTGAACCCATGGCTTTCATATGAAGCTGTATCCCCAGGTTACTCCCTCTCCACATTTTTTGTTTTAAAATAATGGGAGACAGAGTCTTGCTAAGTCACTACAGTGCTCAGGCTGGGCTCAAACTTGCAATCCTCTGCCTCAGAGTATTAGAATTATGGGCATGTACTACCATGTCCCATTCCTTTTTTAAGTCTCATTAAGTTGCCCAGACTTGGCATGAACCTGCAATACTTCCTGCCTCAGTTGCCCAGAGATGTAGAATGGTCTGCCCAGCTAGCTGTTGAATTCTTGGCAGTCAGGAGTGCCAAAAAAGCCAAGTATGGTACCACATGCTTATAATCCAGTACTCAGGACACTGAGTGGAGGACTGCTATGCATTCAACCAATATGGGCTACATAATAGGTTGAATGCCAGCCTACTACATAGTGAGAATAGTCCCAGAGAATAGGGAATTTTAGTACAGGCCCCACCCTTACCAGTGTTGACCAATAAAACTGTAATTTATTCCATATATGTATATTTAAATTTTGTAGCAGCTACATTAAAGAAATACAAATTTTAATAATATACTTATTTCCATACATCCCAAATATTTTTTAGTAAGTTATACAAATAATAGGGGCTGGGAATTTAGCTCAGTGGCTAGGTCCTAAGTTTGATCTCCAGCATCAAATATAAATAAATAAATAAATAAATAAATCAAACAATTAACAAGGTCTATTTTTTAATTGGATGGTAACAAACTTTCTGGAGCTCAGGGAGCGTGCTATACTTACATATAGCACATCTGAAGCTGGGGAAACTGCATTTCAAATGCTTAGTAGATACATATAGCCAGTGGCTGCTTAAAGAACTGACTTTTCTGGTAGTGGGGTTTGAATCTCAGGCCTTCTCCTTGAGTTATCTAGGCTTATTTTGAGACAGGGTCTCCCTAAAACACTAAACTGCCAAAGCAGGGCTTACACTTAGGATCCTCCTGATTCAGGCTCTCAGAATGCTAGCATGACAAGTGTGTACCTCCATGCCCAGTTAACTTTGTTGAGAAGGGGGGTCTCATTAAATTGACTTTGGCTTTGAATTCAAAATCCTCATGTCTCAGCCTCCTGAGTAACTGGCATTATAAGTATGCACCATTGCATCTGCTAACAGTCTAGATCTTGTGTAATAATTCTTACTTTTCTTTCCTCCTTCTCCCCCCCCATTCTTATCTTCCCCTTATTCTTTCTTTTTTTTTTTCTTTTTTGTCTTTTTCATTTTTATCGGTATCAGAGATTGAACTCATGACCGCCTGCTTGCAAAGCAGGTGTTTATGCCACTGAGCTAAATCCCCAGCCCCATCCCCTTATTCTTTCTGGTGCAGTTCTGGGGACTGAATCCAGGGATTGGTTGGTGTGTTCTAGGCAAGCACACTGAGCTATATCCCAAACCTTGAATGATTGATCTTTCTTTTTCTAGATAGGCACTCACTGTGTTGTCTAGGTTAGCCCTGAACTCACTCTGTAACATACACTGACCTTTAATTCATGATCCTCCCTCCTCAGCCTCCTGAGTGCTAGTATCGAAAGTGTGCACAGTCTTAGCTGGCTGAGCAATTATTTTGAGACAGGGTCTCGCTGTGTAGTTCAGGCTGGCCTTAAGCCTACTATGTATAAATTGATCTTGAACTCAAGGCAATCCTTTTGTGTCAGCTTCCCAAATACAGGAATTACAGTCACTATATCTAGCTATGTGTAATGATTTTTAACCTACAGGGCTTACCAAATCCTGAACTACTCACTGTTCTAGGGACAATAATGCTATTCTGATGCTTTAAGTGTAAGGAATGAACTATCTTTCTAATATCTGCCTATGAATGATTAATGGATGGGAAGGCCAAATTGACAAGGAATAATCTGTCTACAAAGCATGTAAGGACATACCAATGATTTTGGACCCATCATCTTCCACATCTGACAGCTCCATGTCTTCCACATCACGATTGTCTGTCACAGGTTCGGGTGTGACAGATTTCTCACTCCTCACAGTTGGTGACTGGGACTCCTCACATCCCATTCCTTGAAACGGAGACTCAGAACCAGTTGGGGAAGGAGCGTCCATGCTTGGTGAAGGGACTGGGGATTCTTCAGGATCAGGAAGGGTTGACTTTAACTGATCCAATTTCTTCTTTAAATTGTTTACACGGTTAGCAAAGGTTTTGTATGCCTGAAAAAGATAAAAGAGTATATTCATTTCTCATTAACATTATCACTTGCACAAAGTAAAAAATACCATCATGTGTATCACATGGAATACTTTTTTCTGTGGTAAGAGAGACTGAACTCAAGGACTTTGTATTATGCCACAACCCAAAAATCCTTTTTATTTTTCATTTTATGACAGGGTGTCTGCAAATCAACAAATTGCCAAGGGTGGATTTAAACTCATGATCCTCCTGAATCAGTGTGTTGGGATTACAGATGGGCACGAGCATGTGAAGCCTAAGCATTTCTAGTCTCTCTACTTAGTACTCCTAAGTGAATATTGCCATCCAAAAGCTGCCCGAGTTATAAATCTAAAGGTTATCTGCACTTCATCCCCCCTCAATTCTACCTATCCACTCAACCAAGCATTATTTATTTTGTGGTACTAGGGATTAAAACCCAAATCATCACATAGTTTTAGTCTTTGAGCAGGCCAGAATTGAAGAGATGGTAATGAGTGAGAAATCAGATCCAAAATTCACATTTGGGAGGAAAACAAAAAAACAAAAACTCCCCTGAGAACGGCAGTGTACTCTTAAGAATTTGAGCACTCTGGGAAGCTGAGAGAAGAAACTCACAAATTCAAACCCAGCTTGGGAAATTTAGTAAGATACTATCTCAAAACAAAAAAATTTAAGGCTATAATCCCAGCATTTGGGAAGCTGAGACAAGAGGATTGTACGAAGTTTAAGGACAGCCTAGGCTATAAAGTGAGTTCAAAAATTGCCCGAACTACATGCTAAGACCTTGTCTCAAAAAAATAAAAAAAATAAAAATTAACAAGTTTGCATTGTAGCTCAGTGTGAAGGCGAAGGATTCAGCTGCATGCATAAATAAAAATTAAAAAGCTGGGTATACAGTTCAGTGGTAGGGTATTTGTCTAGTATGTATTGAGGCTCTGGGTTCATCTTTAGTACTACAAAAAGCAAAACAAAGGTAGGCTACAACTGATTCAGGAATTTTCCTTTTTTAAAAAATTTATTTTGGGGGTTGGGGATTTAGCTCAGCGGCATAAGCGCCTGCCTTGCAAGCAGGCAGTCGTGAGTTCGATCCCTGGTACCGATAAAAAGGAAAAAGACAAAAAAAAATTTTTATTTTTTATAGTAATTTTTCCTTGATGATATGTGCTACATTCTCAAGATGTCTGGAATGAAAAGCCTTGGAGATGAAGGCAGTCTAGTGCCAACAAAACAATATCTACCACCTAAACTATGCCATGGAGAAGAGGACCTAGAAATGACTCCAGGATCTAAGTGAGAAAATGAACATACTTGAGACCAGGTAAGGCCAGTCTGAACTGCATAGGGAGACAAATAAACAAAAGAGTAAAGCCAGCATCAGAATTACTTAACAAAAACAAAATGGCTACGATTAATATTCATGAATATTTTAAAAAATCCCTTCTTTTAGTAATGCAATGCAAACCCCAATACAGCTGAGAAGAAAGTTCACGGGCAGGAAGCACTGCAAGGGCTGCTGGAGCCTAAGAAGGATACGCAGGAAGCCCACAGGGAGGTACTCTGCTGAGCTAAACCCCTGGCCTAGTACTAGGTCTTATACAAATTACATTTATTCATGTATAGCAATCTACACGTACTCATTTATTCATGTACAAAGATCTACATTTATTCAAATACAGTCATGTCATCTTCTGGAACACCATGATAATTCAACAGGCCAACTGTGTGCTGCAAAGGACATAATAAACACATATGTTTGGCTGATGATTTTTTTTTTTTTTTTGTCTTTCTGAGGCAGGGTTTCACTATGTGGTTTAGGCTGGCTTTGGGTTCACTTTGTAGCCCAGGCTGGTTTTGAACTTGCAAGGATCTCTTGTCTCAGCCTCCCAAGTGTTGGGATTACAGGAGTGTGCCATCATACCTAGCCCGATATTGGGTTTTTTCAAGTTAATTTTCCACTTTTAGAGAAAGGAAATAAATAATTATGATTACAGAATGCAACATAAATGTTATCAGTTTTCATACTGTAAAAGTAAAATACAGTCAGCACAGTGGTGTACACCTTAAATCCCAGCTACTCAAGGAAGCTGAGACAAGAGGATCCTTTGAGCCAGGACTTTCAAGACAGTTTGGACAACATGGCGAGACTCCATATCAAAAGAAAGAAAAAAGAAACAAGAAACAAACCGAGAGAAAGAAAAGAGGAGTGGGGGAGAGGGAGAGAAAAGGGAAAAGAAAATTGGGGCTACAGGTAGAAGCTGTTCACTGGCAGAGCAAAAGCTGAGCATTGCAAAACCCTGGGTACACACACACACACACACATACACACACACACACACACACAGCGCATAGCTGGGAAAATAAAGGGAAGAGATTAAGAACTAATGGGAAGCCGGGCATGGTGGCTCATGCCTGTAATCCCAGCACTCAGGAGGCTGAGGCAGGAGGATCCTTGCGAGTTCGAGACCAGCCTGGGCTACAAAGTGAGCTCAAGGCCAGGCTAAATTGCACAGCGAGACCCTGTCTCAAAAAGACAAAAAAAAAAAAAACAACAACAAAAAAACCCCCAACCTAATGGGAAGGCAGAACTGTCAGTGCCCAAATTCCACAAAGCCACATGTCTAGAATGAATATTCACATAACTGGCAAATACCATACTTCAGTTTAGAAGGGTACACAGAGATTTAAGTCATATACTGATTCTGAAAGAGGGGATAGGGCAGGAAAGTATAAGCTACACTTGTCAAAACAAGACATTAACAGGTATTTTTAAAATACTGTATGATAATTTAAGAACAATAATATGGGCAAATTATTTTTTTAAGAAAGGTAAATGACAGCTGGGCATGGCTGTGCACACCTGTAATTCCAGTACTCAGGAAACTGAGGCAGGAGGATCACTGCAAGTTCAAGACCCACCTGGGCTACAAAGTGAACTCAAGGACCACCTGAACTGTATTGTGAGACCCTATCTCAAAAACACAAAAAAACAAAGTACAAAAAAACAAACAAAAAGCTAAGTGAGTTAAAAAGAGATTGTATCTAGGAAACCGATCTGGCAGGACTTATGGTTTCATAAACATTTTTTACAGACAGGGTCTCACTGTGTAGTTCAGGTTGGCTTTGAACTCATGACGACTATTCTGCCTCAGCCTCCTGAATGCTGGGATTACAAGTGTATACCACCATGCCTATAAAGTATTTTCTTCATCTGTAAAATGGAAACAATGCTATTTATCTTTCCACAGTTAAATAGTATTTGTTTGGGTGTTTTGTTGGTTTTTTGTTTTTATTTTTTTTAGACAGGGTCTTACCATGCAGTTCAGATTAGCCTTGAACTCACTATGTAGCCCAGACTGGCCTTGAATTTGCAACAATCCCCCCATCTCAGCCTCGCAGTGCAGGGATTACAGGCATATACCACCACACCCAGTTTAAGTTACTTGTTTTTGAGACAGGATCTCACTAATATATGTAATTCAGGCTGGTCGTGAACTCACTAAGTAGCCAGGCTGGCCTCCATACTATATGTAAAGTGAGACACATGGTAAACATTCACTAAGAGAGAGGTGTAATTATTACTTACATTAGCCACCACTTTTACTTCTTTGTACTGTGCTTCATAGAAAATTCCAGCATTCTCCAGGGCTTCTGTTAGTGAGGGTCCATTTTTCACCTGCTTATCTAATCCGTTCACAAATTCTTCCAGTTTAGAGCTTGCCTCTTCAAATTCTTTGGAAAACTTCTTTCCCCCTGTTTTATCTAAAATTACAGAGAAAGTATTTAAGATAAAAAAGAACAAGCAAAGATTTTACTTTTGAGGAAAATTCCATTTTGTGATCTCATTCTTTTTCTTGCTGCCTTAACAATATTTTTAGCTTGATTTTTTTTTTTTTTTTTTTTTTGGGTACTGGGGATTGAACTCATGACCTCACACTTTTCAGATAGGCGCTTGTGCTGCTGAGCTGTATCTCAGTCCCTTAGCTTCAGATTTTTTCCTTAAAGCTTTTCCAAATCACAAAATACAGAACTTTTTCTTTTTTTTTTTGGTCTTTTTCGTTTTTATCGGTACCAGGGATCGAACACATGACTGCCTGCTTGCAAGGCAGGCGCTTATGCCACTGAGCTAAATCCCTAGCCCCCAGAACTTTTTCATAAAACAGATTCTTGTGAATCTGCTACAGAGAAATACAAGTGAATGTACTTACAAGTTCAACTTATGGGTGGTGGAGCATTTCTAGCATTCTGGGAGGCTGAGATAGGAGAATTACAAGTTTGACCCCAGTCTTAACAATTAAACAACTGTCTCAGAATAAAAAAAGTAGGGTTGGGATTTAGCACAGTGGCATAAGTGCCTGCCTGCCAAGTGTGAGGTTTTTGAGTTCGATCCTTGGTACCAAAAAAATTAAAAAAAAGTAAAAAAGGATAGGGATGCAGTTCATTGTGAAAGACCTAAGTTCAATCCTCAGTAACATACACACACAAATACACCTATGTGTTCAACTAAACAAAGTTAGGGCTAGCCTAGCATACATGGGGCTCTGACTTGAATTTCTAGTACCAGAGGGGAAAACAGATTTTTTTTTTGATCAACTACTTCTTTTCTTTACAAAGTTGTGCCACACTGCTACTTAGGAATAATAGGATAAGGCTCAGTTCTGTTCATTTATACTATATCTTCTGCCTTACAGAAGATAACATGTATCTTTCAGATGAGAAAAGTTCAGAAAAGTAAGTAAAACTGATCTCTGCGTGTATTATATTAAATGCAATTTTCTACTTGAAACATACATTTATTTATTTATTTATTTATTTAGGTTTTTTGAGACAGGGTCTCACTATGTAGTTCAGGCTGGCATTGAACTTACTATGTAGCCCAGGCCATCCTCAAACTTGTGGTGATCATCCTGCCTCAGCTCTCTAAGCAGATTACAGGCATGTATCACCATGCCCAGCTAGACGATATATGTAAAGTCAGATACATAGTGAATATTCACTAAAAGACAGCTATAATTATTACTTACATTTTATTTATTTTGATTTTTTAAATTTGTTTTTGGGGTTTTTGTTTTGTTTTGAGACAGGCTGTATCCCAGGGTGACCTCGAACTTACTGATATCTTCCTGGAAGTGTTGGATGAAATGTATCTTTAGTAACTGAATACATATTTCTTTGCTAGTGACTGCTACAATATGACTTTAGATACATTAATAAATTTTAGCTTTTCTTATCAGATGTGTAACTTGAGCCAACGACTTATCTCCTTATGAAGTCTTAAATTTCTTGTGTAGAGATTCTAGCTGGGTGTGGCGGCACATGCCTGTAATCCCAGCATTCAGGAGAATAAGGCAGGAGGATTGCTATGAGTTCCAAGCCAACCCTGGCTACACAGTAAGACCCTGTCTCAAAAACAAAAACAAAACCAAAAAAGACTGAGATTTTAGTATGCTTCTGGGTTGTCATAAGGATTAAATGAGATAAAACCTGTTCAATTTAAAGTATGTTGTAAGAAAAAAACTGATGCCAAAATGAACCAAACGCATATTATGTGTTAAGGATACTCTAAATTCTGGGATACACCAATGAATAAATACAGGTAATTTCTGACTTCGTGAGGTTTACATTCTAATAAATTGTTAGTATGATTACACACAATTTACAATGTAAGGAAGAGAATAGATTTTATAGCATATTTCTATGACTTTATAAAGAGCATGCCTAAACCATCCAGACCTCAGGTATGAAACACAACTGTTTAAATATAATCCATATTACCAAGATAGTGAAGAGAAAGCTAAGAATTTATTTGTGGAATTTATATGAATGAAATTGCTATCTAGGGAACCAGAAGTACCTTCTAGAACCTAAAGTTGTCTTTATGGGGTAAACTAGTTTAATTACCTGACAATTATGGATCTAAAGAAAAACTTGGTTTTGTTCAAAGGATGTTAAGTATTACCTTTTAAGCATTTCAGAGTTTCTGTGCTGCACACATCCACCCTCATAGTTGACAACTGTTTCTCCTTCAATTCTATCTGATCTTCTGAGCGCTTGTAGAGCAACAGTTCTTCAATGAGGGCCTGAGACTGAACACAGATCAGTCATGTTTCATTTACAAGGTTATTCCGTTTTTCTTTTACCTCTCCCTATTAATGAAAAAAGACTAAAGCCTAATAAAACTCAGAGAGGGAAAAAACCCTTCACTTTTTCTCAGTCAGGAATATCATCAACAGTCAGGTGTCTTGTCAAAATTGTTTTTTAAGTTATATACTTGCATAATTATTCAAAGTTAATTTACGAGTACACGTATACGCTCCCTAAATTAAAAAAAAAAAGAAAATCTTGGGGCCAGGGATGTAGCTCAGCAGCACAGCACCTGTTTGCTAAGTGTTAGGTCCTGAGTTTTTAACAAAAAAAATTTTTTTTAAATTAGATAAACATATATCACTCTATCTTTATCTAATCAAATTATATTACCCTGTGTCTATTTATATTATGTCTGCTGTAAGAAAATTAAAATTTAGCAGAACTTCAAAGAAAGATGAGTCTTCTCATTGGCTAAGTTAACACAGAACTCAGCTAGGTAACAGATTCTGAATGTTATTTCTCCCATCATGGGAACAGATAAAACTCTAAGTAATCTAACCTAATCTGGATTCCTTTAAACTGGTTCAAGTAGCTTAGAACACAACTGATATATAAATGAATAAAAATAAATCTTACTGAAATATATAGAAAACTGAACTTAAAAGAGCCATATATATTAATTTATATTTAATGTATTCTGTAACTTACTCGAAATTCAGCAACTATTTTAGACTTGAGAGCAGCTTTTGGATTCGTAGATGCTGTTGGAATTAAACAAAATGTCATTAAGAATACAAACATAAAGAGCTGACTAAATTCAGGAAAAATTTTTGCTATATAGTTAAGGGCATACTGTTGGAACATATGACATGCACATTTAAATCATAATATACTTCTTAGAATAAAGAATGTACTATGAAATTTAAACATTTCTAAGTATAGTCAATATAAAAATAAACTATTTAGATAGGCCTAACCCACTTACCTCCAACATACCCTTGAAGTCATAAAGTCCTACAATTACTGGTTTGGAGATACTGAGATACATGAAATACCTTCTTTGAGAGGGGTCTCAATACCTCAAAGTAAGAATGTTCAGGAACAGGGCATCCAATTAACCCTAACACTGGCTGAAGAAAATTATTAACAAATATCAACTCTCTTCCCATGTATTTAGCCTTGTATTTCTTTGTGCTGGCTCAAATCATAGCAAAAATAGGCAAGAAGAGTTCTAAATAAATTATCACTGTGGTTGAACTTTGGCTGAAATGATGACTCTTGTTCCTAAGCATGCAATTTATGACCAAAAGGATGTCAGCAGACTCCCTTAACCATGATGAGTAGCATATGCTTGATGGAGCAAAACCATCCCATGTGTCTTGGTTCACCTCCCAATTCTCACTTTTTTAAAAATTCTGTTCCCTCCACACTTCAAGCTCTATCAATATTTCTGTTTGCCCATAGAAGCCTATCACATGCGTATTCCACTCCCTTGGTCTCATGCTGGTAAATGTAATGAACACCACAGGAGCTCCAGTTAAGAGAATGAGCTTCTTGCCAAGGTTTGAGGCCCATGTCTTAATTTGGTAGAGTGGATCCCCAAATCTGAAGGATTTCATGGCTCTCACAGAAATGCTTCTTAATATCTAGTCTCCTCTTCAGATCTGTTGTTTAATGCCAGCTGCCTCTAACTTCATATATCTTTGAACCTGAGAATTAGCCTGGATACTATCAAGGATTTTATTTTCTTCTTTCAATCCCCAACTACTCTTGAATCTTCACTCAATTTAACCCTTTTGCTATATTTCCTTTGTTTAGAGTGGCTTTTTAAGAAACAACTTCATGATGCTTTGTTTAGTATAAGTCACTGAGAGCCTCCTAGGCCTGGAAAACACAGGCTTGCCCATGGTTTATTGCCAGGTACGATGTCAAAAGTCTAAATTTTCTTCTGCTCCAAAAAGAGGAGGTAATTTTATATTAGTTGAGATTTTGTTCCTTACTTTGTGATTTCTTCCACTGCTTATTCGGTTGTTTGTTCAGATTTTCTTTCAGCTGCTTCTGAGTTTTGAAAGTGGTACCTGGAAAACATTTCAGTTTTTGCAATCTGGCATTATGGGATGCTGTTGTCTGTCCACTTCAGTGCCAAAGTTGTAGCATGAAAAAAAGGCAATCCAAGACTGTGTTGTTTTTTTCTTTCTTTCCTTTTCTTTCATTTTTATATATTTTTTAAAAAACCTACCAGATCTAAGAAGCTGTCAAATAAAAGTAATTTCTATAATCAATGAAATAACCAACTCTAAAAAGATGGAGCAAAGAAGCTTAAAAATACCAATTAACAAATTCTAATGAATTTAACAGCTTCTTAGATAATGTTATTTTAAAAGCAAGTTTCTAGTCAAATGACAGTAATTGTGGCAGATTATCATCAAATCCACTCAATGGCTTTATAATTACATGCATCATACACAAAAAACTAAATTACATAAAAATAAAACAGGCACATAACTCACTACAAATCTGAATCAAAAGAGAGTCTAAAGACCACCAATATACTTAGAACCAAAGAGCTAAATGAGAACTAAAAATTCTCCAAGGGTAAGGACATTATTTGTTAAATATAATCAATGAACAATCTGAAAGCAAATGCAGAAAAATAATCATTTAATATTCAATATTTAAAACAAACACAAGCAGATCCAAAATTTTATTTTTCATTATTATACAGAGGACTATATCTGTCTCTCTATATATTACATATTTTTTTTTAATTTTTGTTTTTTAATAAAACTGGCTTAAATGTTTATTTTAGCAGAGAAAAGACACTTACTCAAAGCTTCTCTCAATGCCATGATCATTTCTTCGGGGTATACATTTCTGTCTTCCCAGATTTTAAAGATGCGTTCTATAGACTTAGACACAGATGGGTCCCTGAAGGAAAAACCAAACCAAACCAAAAAACACTGATTATAAAAACAGTGACATATCCTAAACTAGAATTTTAAAAATAAAGTTATCAACAAAATTACTATTTCCTAAATTTCTTCTGATTTTTATTTTCATTTTTATCTTGAGACAGAGTTCCACTATGCATTCAGGCTGGCCTTGAACTCACTTTGTAGCTCAGGCTGGTCTCAAACTCGAAACAATCCTCCTGCCTCAGCCTCCCAAATGCTGGGATTACAAGTATGCACTATCATGCCCAGCTTCTTGTGATCTTTAAAATTTTTATTTTTTGATCGAAAAAATTGACTGAACCCAAGGCTTTCATGATAAATTACATACCTAGTCTTTTAAAAAAATTTTTATTTTGATACAGTCTCGCTAAGTTGCTAAATTGCCCAGAGTCGCTTGAATTTGTGATCCTCTGCCTCATTCTTTCAGAGTAAAAGTATTACAGATGTGTACCACATGTCCAGCTTTGATGTTTATTTTTAAATATATTTCACTTAAAAAAACAAAAACATGGTTTTCTTTTTCTTTTTATGATCTTTCAGTTTCACTGTATGGTTCAGGCTGGCCTTGAGCTAACTCTGTAGCCCAGGTTTGTTTCAAACTCATATCCATTTTCCTGTCTCAGCCTCCTGAGTTGTGAAATTACAGGGATGTGCCACCACACCTGGCTAAAAACATGTTTTTCTTACAATATCCAGGGCAAAAGAAATCTCGAACACTTATTTAACATTTTTATCAATAACAAATATGAGGCTACAGATGGCATATTAAGCTCTGTGATGGAAAAGCAGTGGAGAGGGCTAGTCAATATATAGACACAACTGGCAACCCAAGACAGGCTAAATCTCACCAGATGAAATTTAATCAAGAAGGACCTAGCCTGAAAATAGCAAAACCCCAAATAATCACAGGATAAGAATAAGCACAGAATAAGAAGACTTATCAATGCTGTTTTCCTCCCTTTAAAAAGAAAAGGTTTGATTAAAAATAATCAATCCTGTACTGTAACATGTCTTCTGAACAGTTATCACACACGTTACATTACAGAATATTATAAAAATACATTCCAGAATGAGGGAACTGAGAGTATTACTTTATTCTGTTTGGTTCACAATAGGCTTCCGAGTTTGTGCAGGGGCTAGCTGACTTGTGCAGCAAAAGTGTTGCTGTAGGGGCCGGATATTTAGCTCAGTGGCTCAGATGCTTGCCTGGTAAGCGTGAGGTTCTGAGTTTGATCCTGGTATTAAAAACAAAACCCAAAAAACTGTTGCTGTAGTGGTTTTCCTCACCAGAGCCCACCCTGCTTGCACCAGGATATATTTTTATCTTAATTTTTCCTTGGCCCAAGGAAAAAGAGCTAGTTTCTCCCCTATTCTTTACTCTTACTCTTTCAAATAAACTTTGAAGGAAAAATACCGCAAAATAATTGTAGGGTGGACGACGCATGCCAGAAACAGGGAGGGAAAGAGGGAGAAAGGAAGGAAAGAGAAGGGGAGAGTTAGGAAAGGAGAGACTACTGTATTAAGGTAAAAGTGGCTGAGAAATAATTACCAGGAAATGAAGATTTAAATTATGTGAAGTGAAACTATTGAAAAAATACAGCAGAGTTGTGAAGAAGAATCACACTAGTATGAGCCCAAGAAGCAAAGTAGTATGTTTGTTATTTTGTCTGTGCATCTGGTGTCTATTTGCCCAGTCTGATTGAGCAGACTAACAATGAGCTAATGATCTTTCACACCTGTAGATTCATTGCACATATGTCCTACAGCAGTGCCCAAGTGGAAAAGAGCACCTGAGAAATGCCCTGAGGCAATCCCATGATTTGTACTCTTTTCTTTTTTTTAATCGGTATCAGGATCGAACTCACAACCATGCACTTGCAAGGCAGGCACTTAATGCCTTGCTGAGCTAAATTCCCAGCCCCACCCAAGAAGCAAAGTAAGGACAAAAGAGTATAGCCAGGCATGAAGGGGGCACAATCCTAGCTCTTAGGAGGCCTGAGACAGGAGGACTGCTGTGAATTTGAGGCCAGCCTGGCTGGCTGTTCAAGGCCATCCTGAACTACATAATGAAACCCTGTCTCAAATACCCATCCCCAAAAGATCAAAATTATAGGGAAATTTGGGGCTGGGGATTTAGCTCAGCGGCATAAGCGCCTGCCTTGCAAGCAAGCAGTCATGAGTTCGATCCCTGGTACCGATAAAAAGAAAAAAGACAAAAAAAAAAAAATTATAGGGAAATTTCTAACAGATCTATCAAATAACAGAAGACAACATTCTAACCCCAACAAATCTGTCAAAAGATAACACGGTAGGGCTGGGTGATATACACCTATAATCCCAGCATTCTGAAGTAGGATGGTAAGGCCAGCTTGGGCTACATAATGAGTTCAAGACCAGACTGGAGGGTTGGGGATTTAGCTCACTGGCATAAGTGCCTGCCTGGCAAATGCAAGGTCATGAGTTCAATTCCCAGCACCAAAAACAACAACAAAAACTCAAAAACCACTCGGACTGGATTACATGGCAAGGACATGTTACAGAAAACAAAAAATCAGAAAGAAAAAGGCACAAAGTAAGAGCTTAAGTTTCTAAAGTAAATTCACTGAACCACAGGTAGTTGAATACTATATTAAGATTTTTTTTAAAAAAACCAAGGATATAACTCAGCAGCATAAGTGCCTTCCTGGCACATGCAAGGTTCTGAGTTTGATCCTCAGTACAAAAAACAACAACAGTGGGGCCAGGGATTTAGCTCAGTGGCATAAGTGCCTGTCTGGTGAGCACATGGTCGTGAGTTAGCTCACTGGTACTACAAACAACAACAACAAACCACTAACGTATGTATGTATGTATGTACGTATGTATGTATGTAATTGCAGTAATGGAGAGTGAACAAAAGGCCTTTACATTGAGTTACATTTCAAGCGACTTTTTCTTTTTTTGAAACCAGGTCTTCCTATGCAGTTCAGGCAGGCCTTGAACCCATTATGGAGCCCAGGATGGCCTCGAATTCACAGCAACCCCCTTGTCTCAGTCTCCCAAATGCTGGGATTACAGGTGTCATCCAGCTTATTTTTCTTTTTTCTTTTCTTTCTTTTTTTGGGGGCGGAGGGTTACCAGGGATTGAACTCATGACCTCACACTTGCCAAGTAGGTACATAAGCCACTGAACTAAATCCCTGGTCCCTTATTTTTTATTTTGAGACAAGGTCTTGATTGCCCAGGTTGGGCTCAAACATTATTTTCCTATCTCAGCCCCTGCAGAGTGCTGGAATTACAGGCATGAATGACCATACCCAGCTATGTCAACATTATAGCATGTTTCAAACATGAGAGTTGAATCTACATCATATGTTAATGAAAGGCATTTTTTGGGGCTAAAAATGGCACACATAGGAAACAAAATTGTGTTAAACCTCCAGAAATGTAATGACCATATACAGTAGTGGTCCATTAATATTTTATCACTTTACAGACAATATTCTCAAAGTTGTGTTTATTTATACACACACACAAACATACTGGGGACTGGACCCTGAGGCCTTTACCAGTGAACTACATCCCAAGTCTTTTTTACTTTATATTGAGACAAAGTCTTGCTAAATTGCCCAAACTACTCTCAAGCTTGTGATTTTCCTTCCTTGGATCTTAAGTATTTGGAATAGCAGTGGTACCTCAGTTTATGAAGTTAATTCTTTTCACAATCCTGGTCTCAGAACTCATTCCACAATTCCGGGACTTCAGTTGCAAACAGAATTGTGAAACAAATTAAGTTTGTGAAACCAAGATATCACTATACAGGCATTTGCTACTGTGTCCAGTCTCTAGAAATAATTTTACTTATAAAATTTTCACATATTCCTTTTAAGGCTATTATTAAGTATTTCACTGCTAGCATGATTCATCATCCTTTTTATTGTTAACTTAAGAGTAAAACTGATTCAGGAGCTCATTAATGGTAAATTATCTTAGTTGTTTTTCTAAAGCTATCTTTGTAGGTTTGGGTCTGCTGTCAGTTTAGTTGTAGTTTGTTTTATTTATGGTATGTCATTTTTCTTTTTTCTTTTTCCTTTCTTTTTTGTATTGGTCTTTTTTGCGACAGGGTTTCAGTGTGCAGTTCAGGTTGGCTTTGGACGCAGTGATCCTACTGCCTCAGCCTCCTGTGCACTATTATTCCTGGCTAGCCCTTTTCATTTTTTTGAAACAGTATCTTGCTCTATTGCTCAAGTTGAACATGAGCAACAAGCATGACCAATGTTCATCCTTCAGTCTGTCAAAGCTCTTGGTAGGCTGAGGCAGAAGTTCATGGCCTTGAGTTCAAGATTAACATGGATGTATACTGACTTCAAGACCAACCTGAACTACATAGTAACAATGGGAGAAGTTAGTTGGTACACGTTATTTGAAACTCGCAGTAACCAATTTTGTGGCTAAAAAATTAGATGTTTATCATTGCTTTTTATAAAATGAGAAAAGCTCATGCTAGCCATGATGGTCTATGTCTAAAATCCCAGCCCTCTGGGAGGCTCACAAATTCAAGCTCATCCTAGGCAGTTTAGTGAATAAGCAAAACATTGTCTCAAAGTACAAAATAAAAGAGATTGGAATATAGGTCGGCACAAAAGCTCTGGAAGAACATAGCAGTTTATAAAGTACCAACAATAAAATGACAGTTCAGTAGAAGATCTGGGACGTGAAATTCAGAATTCTTCTTCTTTTTTTTTTTTTTTTTTTTTTGGTCTTGTCTTTTAGACATTCACACCATGTTGCCTTTACACAAGCCTGGTAGTTTCCACTGGTCTTTGTCCCTAATGCTGTTACACAGGGGATTGAGCCCAGGGCATTCTACCACTGAGTGACATTCCCAGTCTATTTATTAACTTCTAAGTTTTGAGTTGAGGTCTTGCTAAAATGCCCAAGGAATGGTTCTCTTGCCTTGCCTCCCAAGTAGCTTACTGACATATATAGAAATAC